ACAGGCCTGGTATAAAGCCCTCATTACTGCTAGGAATGATCGACACAGCTGCCTAAATTGACCACATTCAATGATCCATCTGGGATACTTCCTAATATTCCCGTAGAAGCCATAGAAACCTTTGTTTCTTTCTTGCGTGAGATTTCTTATTAATTTTTTAGAGGTTGTTTATGTTGTCAGTAATTTTCATATTTTTGACTTGAGTGCAAATTAAAATTAAATAAAATATTTTTGATAAACAGATTAATGTGAAAAAAGGTTTTCTATTTGACAGAAATATGGAAGTGTCATGCATTACACAAATTTTCATTTGACACAGACATTATGAAGTGTCTTGCATTTCAAAAGTTTATATATTGTAACTTCCGTGCAGATTTCATTTATAAATATGTGTAGGGTTGGGTATTACGGATTTGTCACATTGAATTTGTCAGGACGGCACCATAATGTAAGTGTTTTAAAAAAGAAAGAAGATTTTATTTATAGTATGCTCAGTAGAGTAGCAATTATTGTAAACACAGGTATGCACAAACAGACATAAAATTTGTGTCTGGAGAATTTAAAAATGGTACCAGACACTTATGATGGCAGAGGAAATCATTTTAAAAGATTTATATTTCTCATAAAGATCTTAAACAAACAGAGAGTTTCTCCGCAGGTATAACAGCCATATGATTATCTACTTTAAATTGCTAGTTATTGGGATTTTCGGATGCTAATTCTATAGCAGTATGGTGTTAAATGTTATGTATAAATCACGGTAATAGGAAGGTGCAGCTCTCCGCAATAGGGGTAGGAAATGTGCGGGGTGCAGTTGTCTATACAAGGTCATAAACAGTGCATCATGTAGACTGGTCTGGCATAATGAACAGGGGACCACATGTCGGTAGTAAAAAAAATATCACTTAATGAATCAAAGGCTATAATATACCTACACTGCAGTGTACATTGAAATTAAAAGGGGTTGAAGGGTATGTTTAAGTTCATTAGGATTGATCCTTTTGCATTCAGACTACAGTTTTCTTAAGAGGGAAAAAGGACGAAAAATCAGTTTGAGTGATGCTTCTTAAAAAAAAACATGAGTGGCATTTAATGGCTCCGATATGAGTCAATTGTCATACAACAGGGTTTTTTTTTCTTTATTGATAACCCCCTTCATTTCAGATAGCAGTACCAAATCTCTTATCCCCCTCCCCAACCAGGGACCAGGTGCCACTATTTAACCCAGAGACGTCCCCTCCCCAGCTTGTCTGTTTGCCATTTTTTTTACCCCCTGTTAGTCACAGATGGCCTTCATTATCCACACACTGCCTTCTAACAGGGAACACCTCTTGATTCCCCAAAAAACTTCTAAGGCATTCATAATCAAAAGAGCAAACAATGAAATAAAAAAAAATCTCTGAAAAAAGGTGTTGGGGAGAGCATGAGAAACAATACAGAATAGAAAAGAGCATGAGAAATGTCAGCATTTGATATTGACCTGTTTTTATCAATAATCGGCCAGGATGCTGGGGTACTTTAATTTTGATTGTTATAAATTCCCAGGTAACATTTTGCTCTGTGTCAATAATGACAGATGCCATTAGCGTTTTGGGTTTTTTTTTTTCCTCCACAGTAAGGCATGCTTAAAGTATGATAAATAGGAGATTGATTTGGAGACATCAGTAGACCATAGTCTGTATTTGTTTGTCCTTTATAATGGCTATTATATTGACTGTTGGTAATACAATAATCGTGGCTATGTCTGTCAGCTGCGATATGCACATTTCCTTTGCATGCTTCTCTGTAGTTACCTGGGTATTACCTGAACAGGTGGCCGGCATTAAGATTTGTCATCGATGTTATGAACTGTTACCAATATTACTTAAATATCAATGTGCACTTATAGAGGAAGACCTGTTTTGACCTCTCGACACATATTACATAAAAGTTTGTAGCTTCTTATTTTAAAAATAAAACTACTTTCATGGTTTAAAAGAAGGAATGTGTTAGATTTATTGAAAGCTTCAAGCACATTGAAATATTCAAATACAGAAATTTTTCCTAAATTTTCTGTGGCCCAAGTCAATGATTTACAAAGTAGCATGAGCAGAATTTGTTTCTCTTACATATAATTAGCATTGGCATCTCGTTAACCTTTGAATGCTGTGTTCAGGGGGCGATTTATAAACTACCCACTTGGTGAAGGAGTCATTCTGGACATTCCAGTGGTGAGTGGTCATTAAGGGGGGAACATTTACTGGAGTTTAATGAGGGTCCTACAGCTTGGCATCAGTGAAGGGAAAGTCCCAGTCACGTAGATTAGACAGCTAACAAACTGTTGAGAGGTTGTGAAGGGGTCTACTGACAGAATTAAAAGTTTAAGCTCTCTGAATTATTACTTTTGTTTCAAGGTTTCAAACTCTGACCCTTAAAAAAAGTTGCACCCAAACCTCTCCTTGGCCAATAAAAAAAAATTCAGGCGTTTAATACTGTTAAATTGGTTAAGATTTTTTGGGGGGGGGGGGGGGGGGCAGCCAGTAACAATCTGTTGTAAATTCCAGTGTGGTAATAATTATTTTCTTTTCATTGACACAGTTGAAGGTAAAAGAAAATTGGTGATGGAGATTGATGTACATATAGATCTATGATTACCAAATCTGTGAAACAGGCATCAAGCCTAAAAAAAAAAAAAAAAAAAGAAGTCATCCTCGCAAAGATTTTTAATTTAGAGACCACATCATTACATTTATATATATTTTTAAAAATTTTTCTTCTTCTTTTTTTAAACAATTTTATCATATAATGGGTAACTTCTGTGGCTCAAATCATAATACACCCACTCCTAAAAAACATTAGAACATTATATGTAGGAAGGGAAACTGATAAGTGAAGACCGGATACAATGATTACAGTTTGGTGTATTGATTTCCAGGAGGAACTATTATTCTGCTATAAAGCCCTGGCTGACATATCGATACAGAGATGTTGACACATTCACTCGTCCCATCAATTGTTGATGGCTGACAGGCAGAATTTTATGCAACATTACTCTTTGATAGTAATTAATTTTTTTATACTGGAGTGCTTGAAATTGAAATATGGCAGGGTATTTGAATACAGGAAATCCATATATGATGACATGATACAGAAAATCTTTCCTATTGTACAGCACAAATATTGATCATATGTGTAAGGTGGGGGAGGGGGGATTGCCTTGTCACCCACATTTTCTTGAAAGGGAGGGAGGGTACATGTATGAAAAGAACATCATAACATCATTTTCTTATGCTTACAGATATCTGGAGACCGATGCTTAAGAAAACAGTCTCTGGAAGTGAAGTGAAATTTTTCATACTAAGATATTTTTGAGTTTTAAATTTTTACCAGGACCCCTTTGATCTGGAGATGAAAACAGAAATTTCTCCTTTTCAAACAGGCATCTTATTAAAGCTCATGTAAAAGTTCTGTTTCAGAATTGGCTTCTTGTGTTTCCAATTGCAATTAAACATTGTCTGCCATTTTGAACCAGTTACTCTTGATGAATGTCTAGAGGATTGAATTAAGTTAAAGTAAATAGAACAGTTGTGTCTCTGATTTAACCTTCAAGTTAGGTTCTTTAAATTGGGAAGCTGAACTTTGAAGTGGCCCCATCTAAAGCAACGGGCAGTCGTGTGAAGTCAACTAAGCTTGAGTGAAAACAGGGGGGATAATGAAGAGATAATTGGTGAAAGGTGATCTTCATTTAGTCAAGATTCTTGTGATTACTTTTAAATAGGAGTCTGTGACCTTACAGTGTTGTTAGTGGATTTACAATGCAGTGAGAAATCCCCATGGTGTCTTTCTCTCTCTCTCCATTTTCTGTCCTTTTTCTCCCCTCTAATCTCTCTCTCTCCTTGCTCTCCCTCTCCTATCTGTGAGAACCCCCATTATGATTACAGAAATATGAATTATAGATTTATTGATGGATGCCTCTACAGCATAGACATGATAGATCTTAAAGCATTGCCAATTAGATACAGAGATAAGTCCTCCATAAAATCATAAATATTGATAGTAATACTGCTGTTAATCAACACCCTGCATCAGTAGAATACCTGATAAAGCATGTTCATTGCCATGGTGTGCTGATTATAACAAAGAACACTGGTGGAGTTGAGATCAAATTAGGCTTATCTGTGTAATGGAAGCCTTATCGGGGGTTCTCTGTCACATTGTTAACCAAGAATCAATAATTTCTGGGAAAAAATCAACAAGGTGTCCACACTAAATCATGGGGAAAAAAGATCTGACTATTATGTGTGGTAATCAGTGGGGGATTTATGTAAATAATGCCTGGCTGTGAAACTGATGTACTTACTGGAGATGCGTATTTCAAAATAATATATTTTTTAAAAATATACTCCAGTTACATTTTTATTATGAATATCAGTGTTTTTACAAGAAAAGGTCAATGAATCTCCAATTAATTAGCTTTATTTTCAATAATTTATTAGTTTTAAAATATTGGGTTGTAATTTAGCCATATTTGGTGAAATCTGAATCCATCCACGTGTTGTCATAGTTGGTATTATTGGTATTTTTGGAAGCAAAATTAAATTCAAAGATCATGGACATCTGTGGATGACTAATTAACAATTAAGGTGAAATAAAGAATGACTCTACCACTACCACTGTGTGTTTTCAAATAAAGGGAAGTTGAAGGTTCATTATGGGGACCTGTTAGGTTCCTTTTAAACTTGCTAAGCTTGAATTTGGAATGATTGATTGTCAGAAAACATCTCTTAGATGTACAGGTGTCATTATAGAACAAATACCAGAAATATGTATCACTTTACATAAGAGTGTAATAAATTTAAATAGCCTCATTATGGTTTTCTGCTCATTACCTTAGTTAACAAGAGGCTTCAGTAAAAAAAAAAATATATGAAATGTCTATGATAAAGTGCTGTTGATTTCCTGGATATTTTTATTGATTATACTCTGAAAAATATTAAGTCTTGTGTATTCTTGTTTTATAGAATAAATCAGAGAATGTTCTTGGAGATAAAGCACAGAGGCCCAAGCTTGGAAAGGCAAACTCCAACCCAGTGGGAAACCTAGGTCATTCAAGTGGTAAGTCTAACTCATACTGAGTCTGTATTAAGTCAGTAGTAAGTCTGACTCATACTGAGTCAGTATTAAGTCAATGGTAAGTCTGATTCTTACCCATTGGGAAGTGTAGGTCATTGTGGTAAGTCTAACTCATACTGAGTCAGTATTAAGTCAGTTGTAAGTCTGACTCTAACCAGTTGGGAAATTTAGGTCATCCAAGTGATAAGTCTAACTCATACTGAGTCAGTATTAAGTCAGTGGTAACTGTAACTCCAACCCAGTGGAAAATATAGGTCATTGAAGTGGTAAGTCTAACTTATACTGAGTCAGTATTAAGTCGGTCTAACTCTAACCCAATGAGAAATTTAGGTCATCCAAGTGGCAAGCCTAATTCTTACTGAGTTAATAGTAAGTCTAACTCTAACCCAGTTGGGAACTTTTCATCCAAGTGGTAAGTCCAACTCATACTGACTTAACTCAGAATATGTCAATAGTAAGTCTAACTCACTGGTAAGTCTGATGCAAGGTTACTTCACACTAAGTCAGTTTGTGTAACTCATACTGGACATTTGCGAAATAACGTACAGCGAACAGCGGACTTCGGACTTCAGACTTAACTTTGAAAGCGAACTATTCAAAGGGACCAGTATAAAAAATTGAAAAAAATATCAAATTACAACAAATCATCTGAAATGTATAGGCTTTAAATATATATAGGTAAATTTAAATCGAAGGATGTTGAAATTCCTATTTTGATTGCTTTATTTAGAAAATTTGCAAAGAATTTACATGTATATGTGTATAAACATGTGCATGTATATAAATTCCCACATCGAATTGTCTCGAATTAAGTATTTTATATATATATATATATATATATATATATATATATATATATATATATATATATATATATATATATTAGTATGAATTATAAAAATGAAAAGCATCAAATATGAAGTTCATACAAGTCCTACTGCAATCATCAAATGAATGGTGCATTTCCACTTTACATTCTGTACGTTTCTAATTTACAAACTCAACGTACAACTTCCGATCTTTGTGATGAATAAACCTTATCAAATTTTATCATTTTTTGTATTAGATTTCCTGCATAGTTTGTTGATTATTTGTTGGTGAGAAAAACGTCAATATTGCCTAAAAATTAAATAAATTTTGTCTCAAGTCTTTTTTTTTTGGTCATCAAATGTACTCTAGAGCATCATTTAGCCAAAAAAGCAGTCTACATGTATGTATCCTTTCTTAATTACACTGTATCAGTTGTTATCTTAACATGCATGGCATGGTAGATTTGATGTCCCGAATAAAGTACGCGTTGAGGTTCGGTAAGTAGTATGATTAACGGACGTTCCATCAGATTCACCCTCTGCATGCACAATTTTTGGTCATACTTGCATCATGCTTTTCAATTCTCCTTTGCTTGGACATTTTACTTTTGAATATGAGTTGAGTGGAAAGCGTTTGTCAAAACTTTTATTACATATTTTACTGTAGAAAAAACTAAAAATACCATACCATATTTTAAACACAGTAGATAATTTCGAAACCAAATTTAATGAAAATAAATTAAAGGTTTCTCAAAGAAAAAAAAAATGCACTGTTTTACGTTTTTACCATTTTGTTTAATATTGAATAAATTTTTTTGAAAATTCCAACACATTAAATTCTCCAGTTATTTCACAAGATCCGTAATGAATAGACATGTGCATCGATTGTGAAAAGGAGGGGGGGGGGGTTCGACAACTTACCTAAAAAATGACAAATGGAAAAAAGAGAACTCGAAAATCCCATTCAGTGGGCGGGGAGTGTATGTGTGGGGTGGGGTGGGTAGTTGGTTCCATCTTAATTTTAGATACATTTGCATTGGAGAATTTCACTGTATAGTACTGTATGAAAAGTTGTTGTGGGGCGGGATGGGGGTGGGGGGAGAGAGATATCCGACTTTTTAATGAATATTTTCATACTTCATTGATGATAAGAATTTAAGTTTGGATACAAGGTCTGTATATAAATGGCGTCTAACACATCACATCAAGGTATCGAATTTTAAATCGGTATAAATAACACGCTACATTTCTGAAAAAGCTGAGGAGATCAGGAATCTGCATCATTGTTTCCTGCAAAATCAAATGTACATATCTCCCCTTTTCAAATTCGATATACATTAGGGCACATCGATTTCTTTTTTCCTTCTGTTTATTTTCTCTTTTTTTTGGGGGGGGGGGGGGTGTTTTAATAGACAAACAAAAAGAAAACAATTTTAAAAGCTGAAAAATCTTAAAATTCAAGTAATAATTATTATGATGAAATAAAAAATAACGTAAGAAAAAAGTAAATAAAAAAAGTAAATAAGAGAGAGAAAAAAAAAAGAAAATACATTCTCGATGTAAGTTCCGATTCCGAAGAAACTGACTGAAACATAAGTGTTATCCAAATGTTTCGCATTTTTTCCTGTTATAAATGTCGCAGAAGTATTCAGTTTATTTGATAACAATAATATTAAATGCCATTGCATAAATTCATATACAAAGGTGATTAATAAATTCTACACTTTGAAATGTTCCCCTAATTTAAAGTCCGAAGTCTGAAGTCTGTTGTCCAGTGTACGCTATTCCGCAAATGTCCACTAGTCACACAGTGGAAAGTCACTGTGATAAATAAATCATAGTTACAATGTGGTATCTTTCTTGGGGACTTAAATTGGTCAAAAAGTGACAAATCCATTCAATCCCTAATCAATCAATGGTAAATCTCTCTCACTCATAAGGTATCTAGTGTTGCCTACGAGTCTTACATAATATGAAAATGAAGACTCAACATTTTTGGAGTGTTATTGTTCAAACCATAAAAAAATCAGATTAATCAGGTTAAAAAATATCTAACTTCAAATCTAGGAGATTTATGTCATTTTTAGACCAGGCATTTATCTAGTGAATGGTCTCTGTTCAGAGTCCTTTAATTGACAATTTTTTATATTTCAGTGCTTCCACAACCACGACACAGTGCAAGTAGTGGAGTACTTCCAGATCTTCTTCCCCCACACACCCCACCCCAGTCACGTTCAGGCCTCACCCCCCAGAGGCCCCAGGACAAGACCACATCAGATGAGGTGAGTTCCTCTTTCCTGGACATGCATATTCCATAATAATATTATTTCTTGCTTTGTAGACTTAATGTCTCAAAGAGATTAATTAGCATTGTACATCAAGAAAACATTTTACTTCTAATAAAAGTTCTGTATTTTTATGTAAACACAAGTTTTTATACAGAGGGGTTTCTGTTGCATTTTGGTGATTTTTTAAAAGATACTTAAAAACAAGGAAAAGCAATAAATGTGCATGTTAGCATCAGTTGGAAAGCTATTATGTATTTATAATGACTAGCATGGTTTGATGGCTGGAGAGCTGTTTAGTTGTACTGTGATTGCAGCCATGAAAAGCTTCAGCACTTATGAAAACAAGTGTGTGATTTAGTGCCCAAGGAGAGATAAAAGTCTTCGCTGTTGTAAAGGAAGTCATCCACTCACCAATAACAGGGTTTTTGGTCGGGCACTATATACTTTTTTTTTTCCTGTACAGCAAAATCAACAAAATCTGTTATTGTTACATGATGGTACATTTGAGAGAGCTAGAGTGGGTGTAAAAATAACTGTTCTATATACTGATATACCCAGTTGTGAGGAGAGGATCTGATTTCAGAGGCTTACAGGGAATAATGGTATTCTTTTAAGCATCAAGGCGCATTATATCAGTAATTAATAAATTAATAAAGATTCTTACTTGTTTGTGTGTGTATGCTAATATATTATTATATTATTACCATTAGGTAAATAGTAAAATTAAAACATCTACATGGAGAGATGAATTCTGAGATGTGCAGTGATTAAATATACATAGTGTGCAATAAACTATACAACAAAGTGTTCAGGAACCCTAGTATAATACCATGTCTGTGCACAGTTGGGGTTAGAGGTTAATGTTATTTAAGATTCAGGAACATTCTCTCATAAATGTTTTGAAACTTTATCAGTTCCCTGGGTTTTTGGTTGTGACAAGTAATAACTTTTGAAAGGTCGTCATTCTTTTCTAATTTTATCTTTTATACCTGTTCCGAAACTCACCTGACTAATTGGGATTTGAACTCAGAAAGTTCAAATTAAAAGAAATTTTTCTAACTTGTAAGCACAAGCACTTGTTTCTGCATTAAAAGTTCACTCTTACAGTGAACTATGGGGGTGGGGGCACACTTCTATTACAGAAACAAGTGCATGTAAGTCATCAAATGATGCTTGAGGACCAATGTTAATTTATGTTTCAGTGTCAACAAGTGATCAGGATGGGGCGTATTGAGACACCAGTCTAAATCTTTCTCCTTTATATTTCAGTATCGTCAGGCGGTCAGTAATACTTCTGAGGGTGGGGGATTGAGACACCAGCCTATGTCTTTCTCGGCCTTTGGATTCGGTGCTTCTGAGGGTTCAACCTTAACCTCCCAGTCATCTCGCCGCGGCTCACAGATTAATGTCAATGTGGCGCCATCACAACCCATGACTGAAGCTCTGAGTGACACTCCAGAAATCCGAAAATACAAGAAAAAATTCTCCTCAGACATCTTGTGTGCTGCATTATGGGGTACATGTTTAATAATTAACTGCTTCTTTAGGTGTTGTGTGAGTTGAAAATCAGGAACTCGGTAAATTTTCATTTTAAATTTTAAAAAATTGTAAAAGCTCTTTAGAATTAAGTTTGCTCTCTTTATCTGTACAGGACTGGCATTGTAGAAAAGATTTGAAATGAATCTAACACAGTTCCTTATATTAATTAATTGCAGGTTATTATATAATGATACAAAAGTAAAAAATCTGAGTGCAAACTGAATTTTTTAGGGGTGAACTTACTCATTGGCACAGAAAATGGTTTAATGCTATTGGACAGAAGTGGTCAGGGAAAAGGTAGGTCATAGGTCAAGGTTACATTAAAAAAGATCAGTTTCATACAAAATCAAAATTTTAAGATAGTTTCATTATTATATTTGTATATAATTTAATTTGAACAGCAATACAAATTCCCAAATGTTTGTATATTTTGTTATTTAGTAATTACATTAGAAAATTAAAAACAATTTGAACATTTTGATCTTCATGTGTAAATTTAGGTCGCAAATGTTTGTTTATATTATATTATGATGTTTCACATACTGTAAGTTGTTTTAATTCCACGGTGTAAAAATTTCACGGTTTCTCAACAAGTACAAATCACGATGAATTTAATTTCACACTGCAAGAAATTAATATAAATTTTGTACAAGCATTTAAACGTTTTTAAAATCTAATGATAGCATACCCTATGGGTTTAATTTTGCGGAAAAATGATGAATCGTGAACATAGTGAAATTGAAACCATCATGATTATTTGCCAATCTACAGTATTTTACTACCCATTCCAGTTTAATTTACACAAATAAGCTACATATTATTATTCCTGGTTTACTTTTCACCTTTAGTCTTAATAAGGTTTTGTCGGTTACTTTATTCACTATTCCTATTTTAGTTTATACGTTGATCTCACGTCGGAGGTTCCAGCAGATGGAAGTGTTGGAGGGACAGAACATTCTGGTCACGATCTCCGGCAAGAAAAATAAAATACGAGTCTACTACCTGTCATGGCTGAACAATAAAATCTTCAAAAAGGAAGCAGTAAGTAGACTCCTCACATTATAATGTAAAATACTGTAGAAGTACTTTTTCCACATGGGATTAATTTGTGGTATGTGGTCATAAATTTTCTGTGGAAATTTGACCCAGCATACTTAAAGCAAATTTAAGGCATATGGTGGAATTCTAAGAAATTCGTGTAATTTTTCTAATCACGAATTGAACAGAAATTGTGATTCTGTGGAATTTTGATTCCTTGGTAAAAGTACTTTTACAGTAACTGTAGAATTAATCTATTGTATTGTATATTGCAGAAAGTAACTCACATTATGCAAGATATGAATTTACAATCAAAAGTGAATAAATATTTAATAATTAAACTTCGAATCTCCAGTTATTCAAAAAATTCAAGAGAAGCCTTACATGTAAAATTCTGTATGGATATCACTGGGTATATTGAACATTGATGTGTGAAAATTATAAGGATCTATAGTACTGTAAAGATCTTCACTAAATAACGGAAATAATAAGCATTGAATGGTAGTGTTAATATTTTACTGAATCATTATATTATACATTCCTGTTTGTTAACTCTCGTACATCTAAGCACGTAATCCTGAGAAATTTGTCTCCTTTTATGAACAGAATGACAGAAGAAATGGCTGGGTAAATGTCGGAGAACTGGAGGGATGTGTCCATTTCAAAATAGGTAAGCTTCCTGTATAATGTGGCAAAGGGATGTAACTCGAGGACTTTTCTATCATTCAATTTTTTGAAATATTTGTTATAAAGATAAGATAGTAGGCTGTGAAATATATAAATTCAACCTAACCATATATTTCTTATTTTCCTTAATTAATCTCTGATTTTGAGAACTGTTTGTAGGTAGGGGTGGATTGATTGATAGATATAATACATGGCCAGTTTTTGTTTGTACAGTGAAGTATGAGAAGATTAAGTTCCTTGTGATAGCCCTACAGGAGAGTATAGAGATCTACGCCTGGGCCCCCAAACCTTACCACAAATTCATGGCTTTTAAGGTAAGACATGAGATCTGTTGCAGTTCCTGCTCTCACTAAAAAAATCACCTTATCACAAATTCATGGCCTTTTAAATAAAATAAGACATAAGAGAAAATTGTGTTTAGAGTGAAAAATCTTTTACTTCTACTAAAGGTTTGAAGTACTGTACATGTAGGTTGTCTTTAAAGAAATATATGTAACGCTAAGGATAATTACTCTGTCATCAAATAAGATTTTTATTTGGGAGGGGGGTTGTTGTTGGAGCATTCTTTCTTTGTATCATTGAAATGTGGCTTGCTAATTGATTTGTAGTTTTCTGTATTGAGATATTCATACTTACTAATTAGGAAACACTGTGACCTCTTGCTCATATTATAAAGACCTTGACCTTCACTTGGATATTTCTCTAATTGAATTTTTTTTTTCAGTCTTTCACTGATCTAGTCCACAAACCATTGATTGTTGACCTTACAGTAGAAGAAGGTCAAAGGTTAAAGGTTCTTTATGGTTCCCGTAGTGGTTTCCATGGCATTGATGTGGATGAAATGCTGGCGTATGACCTGTACATTCCCACACATGTAAGTACAGTGTGTGACACCCGTATGACCTGTACATTCCCACACATGTAAGTACAGTGTGTGACACACGTTTGGTGACACAATTGTCAGAGTAAGTGTAGTACATGTATGTCATGTGAATATGTCTCATTTGAGTAGATCAATTTTCCAAAAGTAGATCTAGTGTAGATTTTCTATTTATATGTTTTCCAATAGCTTTCTTTAATATTCCCTTTCTTACCTAACCTGTCTTTTATATTTTTTTTGTTCTCTAATAGATATTTGTAAATTATGATGATCTTGGTAGTACTTAAAGTATATTAGTCCTGTAATGTTCTTCTTAGTACTTTATGATTCAATAGTCCTGTATTTTGTACCATTGGTTGCTTTTAGTACTATTTATAGTATACTTGTCCTGTATACTTAGCACAACTGGTTACTTTATAGAACAGATTATAATACTGTTACAATAGTCCTATATTTTGTACCACAGGTTACTTTGTAGTACAGTAGTCCTGTATTTTGTACCACTGGTTACTTTGTAGTACAGTAGTCCTGTATTTTGTACCACTGGTTACTTTGTAGTACAGTAGTCCTGTATTTTGTACCACTGGTTACTTTGTAGTACAATAGTCCTGTATTTTGTACCACTGGTTACTTTGTAGTACAATAGTCCTATATTTTGTACCACTGGTTACTTTGTAGTACAATAGTCCTGTATTTTGTACCACTGGTAACTTTGTAGTGCAATAGTCCTATATTTTGTACCACTGGTTACTTTGTAGTACAATAGTCCTGTATTTTGTATCACTGGTTACTTTGTAGTACAATAGTCCAGTATTTTGTACCACTGGTTACTTTGTAGTACAATAGTCCTATATTTTGTACCACTGGTTACTTTTTAGTTTCGCAGTCACCCCCAGTCCCCGCCCCAATCGGGTATTTCCTCATTTTACGCCCACCAGGTAAATATTTTTAGTTTGCCTGCCAGATTCACTTGATTGACTTGACTAGTTCTCGTTTACCGGCAGTAGTGCTTCTGATCATAATTCTGGGATTTGTTTGAATTGCTTGTTTTTTTCAGTTTAGTTCTATACCCAACACATAACAGCAATAAAGAACTTACCAAGAACCTAAATGTTAGATCATATTTATTGTGGGATGGCTAGAAAAGTTTTAATCTGGTAGTTGAAAATATTTATAAGTTATTTGGCATGTTAGAGTATACATAAACTAGACAAATCTTCAAACGTAGAATAGATATCAAAAATACTATCTAAATATACCTTATTCATTGTATAAAGACAACACTAGGTCTTAAATAAGTAATACATCAGTATGTATAATTTTGTTATATTTTACTAATGCAGGTTTATATATATTTGCATGTTGGTGCTTAGAAGGTGATTATGTTTTCTGTCTGTTTTGCATTGTGTTAGATTTTTATTTTTATTAGAATGAAAACAATTGAATGTTTTTTTGTTGGACAGTGTTTTGCTGTAAGCATCATCCAGAGCACACACCTGCAAATTTACCAGAAATGCTACGCTAAAACAAGCCTGGAATAAAATTTCAGGTGTACCCCTACCAATTCCAGTAAATGACACATTATTCTTTTGACTGACAGATTTATTACTGATGCTCATAAATTGTACAGGCATGTTCTCATAATGCAGACCCTCCCTCTCAGATCATGCAAACACAAATTGTGCTGTGTTGAATTTGACGAATCTCAACAGACCTTGATAAAATTATAATTTAGAGTATGTTCTGATTCTGAAAGCTGATGGCATTGAAACTCAGACAATGGATATAAATACTATATTGGTAGCATTCATGTTATTGTAAAGTCTGATACATATAGTCATAATCTAAAGTAAAGTGTTTCATAATTTGAACCTACTCCCCTCATCTCAATACTCGATTAACAGTTTCTTTTTCTTTGTGCAGACTCAAGGCCCCATCCTGCCACACACTATCGTTATTTTACCTGACACCAACGGAATGGAGCTCCTCTGCTGTTACGATAGTAAGTTGTTTTATCTTCAGTGATATTTTCTATTTGGTAAGATACAATTAAAATATGACCTATACATGTCAGTTACATTCACACACACAAAAAAATACAGAGAGAGAGAGAGAGGAAATGCACAACATGACATGAAAATTAAATATATTGCATAAAGTTGAATGACCATACAGAATGATAAAATCTAATAGTCTGAACTACAGTGTACTACTAAAAGGCACTTAAATTTTGGTGTTCTTAGTGAAAGATCTTTCATTTTGTGTCCTGTATGAATTTCTAATAAATGTAGCTTAATTCTTGTCAGTTCTATTGATTACATTGTCTTGTTATTGTAGATGAGGGAGTTTATGTGAACTCCAGCGGCAGAGTCACTAAGAATGTCATTGTACAATGGGGAGAAATGCCCACATCTGTTGGTAGGTGGCGCTGTATTAGATATGCCACTTTTTTTTGGAAAATTAAGAATTTAAACTGTTAAGTCATGAATTGTTTTTTTTTTTAATCTGTGTTTTTATTTTAGCCTACATCAGCACTGGTCAGCTGATGGGGTGGGGAAACAAAGCCATCGAGATACGAGCAGCCGAGACTGGACACCTAGATGGAGTGTTTATGCACAAGAAAGCTCAGAAACTCAAGTTCCTGTGTGAGAGAAATGATAAAGTGAGTGTATTCTGTAGTCATTAAAGATGTTTGTGAAAACTCAGAAGCATGAGTTCTTTTGTAGGAGCAATGATTCAGTGATTGACAGTGTATTGTACAGATGTACCTATAACACATCTGGACAGCCAGTTTAGCAAACACTCAAAATAAAATGATTTGTTTTTGTTGTCCTCATGTGGCAGTATTGCCTTTAATTTTTACTATCCAGCAACTAGTTCTATACTTTTTCATGTGTGGGAGTCTGTAGCTACTTAACTTAGAAAATATTCATAACAGAACTTGAAAATTCTCTCCACAATTTTTTTTTACATTGGATCCTGCTTATTTTTTATTATATTTAATTGTTGGATGATTGTGCAAAACCACTAATTGGCATGAAAAAAAAATTAGCTTGTCTTTTAAAGAATTTGACTTGTTTTAAAAACTGTTTTATTTACATTGATTCATTTAATTTCCAGGTCTTTTTTTCATCAATGAGGTCGGGCTCAAGCTGCCAGATTTATTTCATGACTCTGAACAAACCAGGACTGGCCAACTGGTGAAACTGTTACCATGGAGATATTTAAATTTCTCAGGGTATCGAGAAATACACCAATGGGAAAGGAGCTAGGGTTACCATGGCAACATAAATATGTTATGAGTAACAGTTACACAATTGTAATTATGGACTATTAGAAAATTTGGAAATTGATGAGGCTATGTTTAGATCTGATATGTGCAGCTAATTCACTGCACGTTGTCTTTCTTTTGAATGTGTTTTTTCGATTTTCTTTTCGTTTCATTCCAGAAACAAAGACAAATTACCTTAAGTCTCTCATGTAAAATGTGTTTAATATTTTAAGAAGTATAATACTCAAACAAGTGCTAAATTATTCCTATCTCCAACAGATATATACTTACTTTTGTAAATACCTATAATGAACAATGCACAGTCTGAATTCTTCAGCAGTATGTAGCTTACCTGAGCCAGGCACTTAATATGGACTCATCTGACCTAAGTTTGTTCTCATCTATTTTAAATCTGATATGATTTTTTAATACTGAAAGATGGTTATTTTTCTAATCAAATTTTTCAAAATATATAGATGGAAACCATGATTTTGGGTTGTCCAATCTTTCTTCCTCATCTACAGAGGAACTGTCTCAAGACAATTAGGACATATTGAATGTGTACCTCAAGTGACCATAAAAAAGTTTCATGACATTTATGAATGGTGAAATTGTCTGTCAATCCTAAATGGCTGAGCTGTTTTTTTTCAGCCAGTTTTCTTAAATGTACGTTAGTTTTGTGTCCACTAGCCATTTGATTTAGTATCCCCAGACTAAAAAAAAAAAAATAGGTCCCTTTAAGCATGAGAAACAATGGAAAGAAAACTTTTATGTCTGGTTTTTAAGTCAAACATTTCATTCTAGTCAATGATTTTAAAAATAAAGATGTGGTGATTTAAATGTCAGATGAATGATTTTTACTTTTTTTTTTTAACCTTGAAGAATCACTACCATTCTGTGATACTGTGGGCTGTGTAGAAAATGTAAATATTGTGTAGAAAGAAATCATGTTACAAGAAACATGTACATTGTCTTTAAATGTGACAATATTTATTTTGTTTGTGGAATTTTATTTTTCATTTGAAAAAAGTTAATTGAATGAAATCCAAAGTAATTACATGTTAATAGAATAAAATATGTCAGAATTAAGTATCCCAGACAGTTTTTTTCAAAGCCTATGAATTTAAGAAAATTGAATTATCAATCTGTTTAATTTATTGATAAGATGTAGATTAACACTAAAAAAAAAAACAGATAAAAATTGCACAATAAGTCTCGTGTGAAATTACTTATTTTAGGGTTTTGGAGAGAATATAAAAAAAAATGTGTTCATTTTAGCATTTACATTGAAAACTCATCCCAAACATCCAAACTTAGCATCAATTGTATCTGTAAGAGGGGAAATCTGACATCTTGTTTTTCATTTTTGTGTCAATGACAGTTGCCTAGCAACTCCATAGATTACTACTAGTAATTCTGTAAATCGTGTATGCCTTGTATCCGTTTTGGATTTGTGTCGGGAGTGCGATCAGTATTAAGTGTCTCAGTGAGATTGTATATTCATTTGTCAAGCTTAGAAACAAAAGTGCAATTTTGATACTGATAATAAATGCATCTGCAATTTCATTTTGTGTTACTTATCTAAGTAGTGTATAAATCAGGACCTAGTGTCTAGAATGAAGAACCATTTGGTATAAAATGCCTCTTGACAAAACAGCCTGAAGTTATGTAACCAGTGTGGAGTTTTATTGTGGCAGCTTTTCTGACACATGCTTGATTTTATCGTTTCTTAGCTTCCTCCATGGACAGGTAAAATCTTCAGTATCACGGTATCTCAATCCCTGGTTCAGTTAAAGAATATTTGTCCACAGCAAATGTCTCGTTAGGAAGAAAGTGATGTTTTCATGCTTTAATGACACAAATCGTGCTGCAATAAGCTGCACGTCTTAAGAAAACTTGTGCTAAAGAAATCACGATATGCACATGCTAGCTCCAACCATGATACAATCTCCTGGTGACTAATGTATTTGACATTGCAGAGATGTCACTGGTCTCTTGACGGGACCGAGGTTGCTACAAGACTTTATTAAAATCCTAGAATAACTCAAAATTACAATATGTGTTCGCAAATCCATTCAGTCGCATTAATTAATTCAAAACTTACCGATTTTTGAATTATTAAACAACTAAACATTTTTAAATGTACAAAATTTGTAAAGAGAATTCAAAATTGAATTTTATTTCACACGTAACTTGCAGTCGGCGGCTCGATGAGTTAAGTTGAGGTTTTTCGATAATGATATTTCTGAAATTCTTGGTTTCTGAAACCATTATGCTCATGTCTTGCGCGAAATGTTGATAGTGTCAAAATTAATAAAAATTATCTTGCGGAAGTAATTTAAAGATACAATTCCATATTTTAAATTTAAATCATTAGAATTATACAAAATTACAGATCATATCACTTTTTTTAAAAAAAAAGTATTTGAAAATTTGTATATTTCAGGTGTTAAAAAAAGCACTTTTAAGAATTTTCCACTAGTACTTGCAAAGTGTTGCTGAAATTTCAAATTCAGCATTAAAAAACACTTTTAAAAAGTTAATCACTTTGAGTACATTTCAGTGTAAGTAGATAATTTTATGTTTCTTTCTCCTAAGTTTCTTGAACGAAATAAATATTGTTATATAAATAGAAAATACGCAAGTTAATGCAGAACTGGAACTTAGCATTTTTTTAAAATTTATTTTTATAAAATGCAAGAATAAAAAAAAAATAAAATTATAAATATTTGCACATGTGTAATCAAATTTATGATTGCAATGAACTTGAATACAACACCATTTTTATTCCATAAATTGCATGCTTTGGCAACGCACTTCGAAAAAATTACGCACTTTGAAATTTTTTTCAAAGTGCGTTATTTTACAAAGGGCGTTGTAACAATGCATTTTGCCAATCAATACCAAATACAATTTTAGAGAAAGTGTCAATCTTCTGTCTTCCAATGACAACTGGACACAAACTATAATCCAGAGTAAACCTAAAATATATTTGATGCTTTTTTTAATTCAACATATTATGCTTTTTTTTTTAATTCCAAATTGAAATTCATTAATTATTTAAAAAACAAAAAAGTTAAGAAAGAAACATATCGATACATTGAACCATATTGACACATTGTGTTGCGGCAAGATAAAATGATATAGTATAAATTAATACATGTAAAAGTCACAGTTGTACCGATTAACCAAATGAATATCTTGGGATCGTGGGTGATGCTTTGCCTCCGATAAAGTCAGAAATTGTCATATCTGTCAAAAAAAAAAAAAAAAAAAAAAAAAAAAAAAAAAAAAAGCCTCAAATATATGCAAGAAACAAAACAAACGTGTATATGAAACACGTGCGTATGTCTTTCTGATACTAGTATATCATCCTTAAACCCATAAATTCAGAGCAAACTCGAAGTCAAAGTTTATTTCAAGTTGGTAAAGGCACGATGGATCAAAAAAAAATTTAGGCCTTAGAAATCTTTATATATTAACGGGTTGAAAAGATTTTTTTGAATATGTCTCAGTAATAATTTATTAAAACCAAATTATAATAATTTAGTCTAAAATGTATGCTGTGTAAATTCAACACTTACTCTTTCTGAGTAGGAAGCAGTCTGCGGCGTTACATTTGTCCCCTTTACAGCAGGCATCACAAATAGCAGTGCCCTGGTCACCGTGGACATATCTATCAGTCCGGTCACTAACTTTTATATGGTCATTAGCTGCGAAAGCATAACAGATCTAACAAAAAAGTAAAACAGTGTAGATATATGTATGTAAGGAGGCCAGGAATTAAGAGTGAAATTAAGGTTCTTTATCCCTATGTACTCTCTTATAAAAATTTGCTTTTATAATAATGATTTTCCGAAAATAAATAGAAAGTATAACTAAAATCATTATGCAAAGAATTTCAGGATACTCTGCGGTGCAAAATTTCATAATAATCCCTTTTAACTTGATATTTTCAAGGAAATATTAGTCAGTTTATTCCAGTTATCCCTTATAGCAACGGATCAGTTAATCTTAAGGGTACTGCATGCTCTTGAGGAAGATGAAGATAAACTTTGTTGTTGCTGTTTTGTTTGTTTGTTTGTTTTGTTGTTGTTGTTGTTGTTTTTTTTTGTTTTTTTTTTTGTTGTTGTTTTGTTTTTTGGTTTTTGTTTGTTCTTTTCTTTTGTTTGTTTTGTTTTGTTTTGTTTTGTTTTGTTTTGTTTTTTTGTTTTTTTTTTTTTTTAATTAGCGCACGTAATTCTTCATCCATATGGTAATAGTATTTAAATGAAATAAAATATGAGGTACTTACACTTTCTTCCAGACAACCATAAACATAACGTACTGTTGATCCCACTACACGAATCCCAGTGTAGCAAACCTGATAAAATATAAAGATCAGAAATTCTTAATAAAGTACGTCGGCAAATAGACATTTACAATATGCTCTAACTATCTACGTAAATATTCATATTTCTGGTACGAAATGTAACGGTTGTTTTTATCAATTTTGAAACACTGTTTGATATACTGGGATTTATTTTGGGATCAACTGTACGTTATGTTTATACTAGTATTTTATAAGGTTCATATGGTGACATATTTCTGCCCCTTGTGTGCAAGTTATTTTTCTATCAAATATGTCGACATGCAAGATAAATATGTTGACATGCAAGATAGTTATGTCAACATGCAACGTAACTATGTTGACATTCAAGAAAATTGCAATCAAATAAAAATTATAAAAAATCTTCAAAAATCTCAAATATTGCCCACATGTGACATCCAACATGCTAGATGCTACTTATTTATGTGAACATGCATTTTGTTTATGTTAACATGCGAGATAAATATGTTGATATTCAAGTTATTTATGCCAACATGCAATTTGGTTATGTTGACATGCAAGATAAATATATTGATATGCAACTTATTTATGTCGACATGCAACTTATTTATGTCAACATGCAACTTATTTATGTCAACATGCAACTTGGTTATGTTTACATGCGAGATAAATATGTTGACATGCAACATATTTATGTCGACATGCAACTTATTTATGTTTACATGCATTTTTCAGATACAGTTCTGCTATGACCTTAACCTTAGACCTTGAAACATAGTTCAAGGTCACTACACACCCTTTAAAAGAGACCTCGGACGAACAGGTGGACGGACGGACACACTAATTACTATAGGTCGCCCGCAGAGAGGGGCCCTAAAAACATTTAATAATCTACGGTCACGTTTCTGAATCGCCAGGACATTTTATCCAAGGAAGTTCAATTCATACTTTGTTGTCCACCTCATATTATAGAAAATAATTTAAACTGCAACATTTGCTTGAATAAATTTTCGATCATTAAAATCAACTTCGATTTTACCGACAAAAAAAAAAAAAAAAAAAAAAAAAAACAGAACTGTGCCTCATTGCACGTGTCTTGGGTACATGTAGTAACGAATCTGCACGCTCGCACAAATGTTCAAATTGTGTATCACAATTTCTTTTGCATTTAAATTTAATCATTTAATTCAAAATCTTATCATTTTGAAAATCGATCATATTTAAAAAAGTATATATCCAAAATGAAATCACAAATTGATCATATTCACTGTAAAATTTTTCGCCATTCCTGGGTCTTCAGACATTTACATCGATTTGTGATTTCATTTTTGGATATTTACTTTTTTAAAATTATATATACTAGATGAAATCCCGCGCAAGCGCGGGGTTTTGAATTTATACCACTACCGATAGAAAATACATTGCAGCCCACAGGGTTATAGCAGGAAGAAATACTTTGTTCAAAATCCCGCATGTGCGTCTCCATCCCCCCACCCCCTTTTGTAAAAACTTGAAAAAATAACAATTTCATTAATTGATGTTTATTGTGAAACCTGTTATACTATGTTATGGATATATTGTATGTTCTTATTTCATTTCCGTCAAGGATAAATTAAAAGCAACGAATCGAATATGCACAATTTACTGATAAATTGATTTTTTTTTTGTGTGTGGGGGGGGGGGGGGGTAAAATTCACAGGTACGTGTGTCTTGGTTTATAAATATGTATGTGTCTTATTGATATGTAAAAAATGTACTTTACCTTTTTTTCACATATCAATAAGGTTCATACATATATATAAACCAAGACGCAAGTATCTATGTAAAAATAAGCTTTTAACGCCCTATGGATAGGCCGAGTATTTGATACAAAAGAATGTATCCCCCCCCCCAAAAAAAAAAAAAAAAACCAAACCAAAAACAAAACAACACCAAAAAAAAAAAATAAAAAAAAAATAAAACTGAAATGTATTGATTTAAGCACAAAATTTTACAGCTTTAATTGTATTTGAACAATATCTTATTCATTAATTTTCTCTTTTCATGTTAAGCAGTGAGGAATATATACACATTTTACCGATAAATTTATTAGGAAAACCTGCTACATATATGTAATAGTCTTTCGATATATAATTCCCAACTTATAGTGTTATCAATGATTTACCATTATTTCAATGACCATTCACACATAAGCTTTTCTTATGTTCCTATACAGCTATAATTGTCTATAATTGTCTCGTTTTTCTTTTTAACATCGGGCTTAATGCTATCTGATATTCTAGAAGCTTCCGTCAATATTAAGATCGGTGAATGACAAAAATAATTTGCACATAATTTCCCTTTTTAATCGGTTACCACAAGTTATTTCTTTTATGTAATTTAAATCAAGTTTTGATTGAATAATTCAGTGATGACGTTTTATGAAATAAATAAACGATTGATTGTTGTCAGTTTCATTGAAAATTGCCAGTAACTTAGATCCGCCAACCGGAAACGCCACCGTACTCAGGTTTTTGCTGTTTCATGGCTGTTTATAGAAAATAAAAGTAGACTTTTAATTTAATGTACGATATTTACAATGCGAGTGAAATCTAAATATAGTTTACGGACATCATATTGTATCTAGTGTATTCTTAGAGGAGTAAGTAAAAACTCTGGTGCATCCGTTTCGGAGTTTATATGCAAAATTTATTAATTTATAAGTATAGATATATCTGCTACTCAACAAAACTAAGTTGCATGTCAACATATTTATCTCGCATGTCAACATAACTAAGTTGCATGTTGACATAAATAAGTTGCATGTTGACATACCTAAGTTGGATGTTGACATAAATAACTTGCATGCCAACATATTTATTTCGCATGTCAACATAAATAGCTTGCATTTCAAAATAAATAAGTAGCATCTATCATATTGGAAGTCACATTTGGGCAATATTGGAGATTTATTAAAGATTTTTTATAATTCTTATTTGATTGCAATTTTCTTGCATGTCAACATAGTTATGTTGCATGTTGACATAACTATCTTGCATGTCAACATATTTATCTTGCATGTCGACATATTTGACAGAAAAATAACTTGCACACATGGGGCAGAAATATGCCACCATAGGTTCACTATATTATGATTAATATTGTGCGATCAACTATACGCTGACTTTTTATGTCATCATGCAAGTTATATTTTAAGATGCAAGATGATTATGTTAACATGCAAGTTATTTATGTCAACATGCGACTTTTTTTATGTTAACATGAAATTTATTTATGTCAACATGCGACTTATTTAGGTCAACATGCGAGGTATATTTTAACATGCATGATATTTATGTCAGGATAATATGCAGGATAATAAGTTGCTTGTCAACAAACATATCTCGCATGTTGACATAATTAACTCGCATGTTAACACAAATATCTTGCATGTTGACATAAATAAGTTGCGTGTCTACATGATTATCTTGCATGTTGACATAAATAAGTCGCAAATTAACATGAATAAGTGGCATGTCAACATAATTCTGTTGCATCTTGCTTGTATGATGTCATATAATGGCATTAGTAAGTAAGTTTACCAACAATAAAATTAGACTCTCTAAAGAGATTGGTAACTTGCATGCCAACATAATTATTTTGCATGCTGACATAAATAATTATGTTGCATGTTAACATAATTTATCTTGTATGTAGGGGCAGAAATATACCACCATAGCCTAACAATATGTATGAAAAAACTTCAGTCAACATTCCACTTAACGATAGAATATATTTGCTGACAAGGTCATTGTATTGACCATAGAATTTGCGAAATGTTGACAAACTGGATTGTTGATATCCTTGTATCATCGACTTATTTGTCAATAGCTTGCCTCGATTAGTCGTACATAGAACACGCTCTTGCATGTCCAATCAACTGGGAGACATGCTGTATAGATAAAAGGTAAAGATAACGAAAAGTGATCGGTCTCAAAAAAATCAATAAACGATACAAATATGTGAAAAGGTCATAAAACACAGACCACTGGAAATTCCAGAGGTGGGATCAGGTGCCTAGGAGGAATAAGCATCCCCTGTTGACCGGTCACGCTCGCCGTGAGCCTATGTATTGATCAGGTAGACGGAACATTCCGTAGTCAAATTCAGTATAAAAAACAAAGGCCTGACAGTTGGTATAAAACAAGTCAGCATTAACTGTTTAGAAAATATAGATTAAAGTAAACATTACTAACTTAAAAACCCTCCATAAAGAAAGTGGCATATCCAAATACTTTAATGTTTACATGTATAACTGGATGCTTTAAATGTCATTCCATCTATGGTACTCTTCCCTTACCTCATTTGGATGACAAGGAATGACAGGACAGGGTTGAAGAGGATTATGAACGCCATCACAGGCTAAACAGGTGTCCAACCGAACTAGGGAAATCAACGAAAAAAGCAAATGATATTACATATTTTTTGGAGATACAATTTAATCTGGCAATCTTAAAAACATTTTATGCAAGTTTATATCAATTTACAAGTTTGTATTTTCGATTTCAAAACATTGAAAGGTTTTAGTAAAACAATCTTAATTAGTTTAGTAAAAATCAATGTATTTGTGTTTTAATTCAATTCAGATAAAAATGATTTCCGTATTTAAATGAAATGCATTCTTTATATTTCTTTATAAAAAGAATGTTTGTACTCTACGTCACTTGTATCAATACATCAATATTTTGATTTTTTGGATCTTAGTCGTAAGTTTTTTGCAAAACGGGCCCGAAGTCGAATGTTGACTGACGTTTTTCATACAAATTGTTAGGCCATTATTTTCACACTGAATTGTCTACGAATTTTTCCGTTTTCCCGATCCTGACAAGGAGCACACGGTGGGTGTGACGAGTTGACAGCGGATGCTTACTACATGGCACCTGATCCCACCTCTGATGTTTTTAGAGGTCCGTGTTTGCTCTGCTCCAATTTTTTATTGTTCCAATGGACTTTTGAGCTTGATTACTGTTCGTTATCTTCATATTTCATCTAAACATTCAGGATTTTTTTCCAATATAAGTACTTACAGCAGAGCCCACAAGACTTCTTACAAAAGATGGCCGTGCTGGGGTCGCTACAGATATTTTGGAGGGCAAACTGATCTGAACAATCCTCGGGACTTGTATCGATACAAGGAGCAGACTTAGTTGAACCATAATCTAAAAGGACAAAGCATGAAAAGTCCTAAATGATCCTTTTGAATCTCTCTCAAATCCTGTTCAGTATTTATCAGTATAAACCATGATTTAAATCATGCCTTTATGATAAAGCGTACAAATTCTAAATAGTAACATATACAGTTGGGAATTTCTGTTTCTCTAAATTTCAGCATGAAATTTACAATTTTAAAATACATTGTCTGGTATTTTAGCTATACATGGACATATTTGCACGTTTCTTTCTTTCTTTTTTAAAAATCAAACATTGGTTCAAATTTTATTAGAAAAATCACTCTACTAACGAATTTTGAAAATAATGTTCAACCTCAATCAATGATTTCAACTTTACTTGAAATCTCATTATGTCACAGTTCAAACGAAATGATTCCGGTTTCTACAAATGAGGATGTATGGTTTAAGAATATCAGCTTCTCAGCCAAGGAATGATAACTCTTTAAATTATTATTTAATTAAAAATGTCTAGAAATGAAGCTTGAAATTGAAATCATTTCATATCTCTATTTGATATATCATTTCCCTACATTGTATGATGAACTATAATGATGAACTTTGAAGAAAATACCATGGGTAAAATATATATATTGCTTAAGAGCCATTTTTGTGAGCATTTTCATTTTACTTAACTACTGATATTCAGAACCTGAGGTTTGACTACCTTAAATGCAAAATGAAAGTGTTTCCCGACCGACATGAAATAAAAGAAAAAGTCCTTCTGCCCCTCGTGTTCCCACATATTGCATCTAAGCCATCATTCGATAAAACTAAAAGGTAATATATTTACCAGTGAAACTCTCCATATTCCGGCTATTATTTCTTTTAAGAGAAAATTAAAGATAAAAATATGATATAGGTCGATATATGAAATTAAAAGTATTTTTCTCGGAATAATGAATAAAGTTATATATCTTTAAGTATTTGTCAGAAAAACACCATGCCATTAAAAATTAGAGATGTTTTGGCAAGCTCTGGTTGAGCCTCGCTGTTCGATGATTTTTGTATATGTATATTGTAATTAAGTTTTGATTTTACAGTCTATATCAAACTCTATTATGTACATTTATACCTTAAAAATCAAATTGGAGAAAGAAATCGGATTTACAAGAAAAAAACATTTTTTTTTTCTGTAAAAATTATCTATGAAGCATAGAATGGTAAACAAATCACTTACCATAAAAACAAATGCAGAAAACTGTAACTGAAAGAGCGCATTAATAATAATAATAATAATCAAGATGACAATTATACTTATTATTACACAAGAATTGATATCATACATTCAATAATAAATCAGCTTGTACTCACATAATGATGTTTTCATGCCTATATAATAGATTTACTCTTTTATAATATTTTCAATTAAAGGAAAACATTTAATTATTTATCCCTTAAGCAGCCTTTACAGTGACATTAGCTTATGAACTTATTCCTAGTATAGCAACATAACACATAATTCAATAGAGACATGAATGTCACGCCCAAGCATTTAATTAGTAATGGAAGATGAAAAATTTGTATTAGTGTATGAAATTTGATGAAAATATCTTGATTGGTCTCTTAAAAACAGTTTTTGACACAACAAATAGTTAGGTCAAAGGTCAGTAGGAAGATCAAGGTTTTAAAAAAAGTTGATAAATTCTCATCAAGTTATATATAATATATGACACGAAGCTGACGTTTTTCATACTAATTGTTAGGCGGTTATTTAAAAACTGAATTGTCTACGGATTTTTTTTTTACGTTTACTCGATCATGACAATGAGCACACGGCGGGTGTGACCGATCGAAGGGGGATGCTTGCTCCTTCATAGCACCTGGTCCCACCTCTAATGTATTTTAAAGGTCCGTGTTTGCTCTGTCCCGATTTGTATAGTTTCAGTGGACTTTTGAGCTTGGTTGATGTTCGTTATCTCCTTATTTCATTAAAGAAAAGTGAGGTCAAAGGGAAGGTCAAGGTTAAAAAATTGATGCAGGTAATATGTATCAGCATATAAGGTTTTATAAAAATATATTGAATAGTTTCTTTGAAACTGAGATAAACATAAAATTGAGAAAAGTAAGGTTATGGTCAAAGTAAAGGTCAAGGCCAGAATTGTTGATGCAATTGAATAGCTCTCAATTATATGTATCAGCATATGAAGTTTGATAAAAAAGATATCTTGAAAAGTTTTTTTGAATACACAAATTGAAGAAAAGAGAGGTCAAGATCAAATGAAAGGTCAAAGTAAAAAAAAATGAATTTCAAACATTGATCATTTAAGACTGCAAATAAAGCAACTATCAATAATATGTAGAATATTCATGAATAATATTATTCATGTCATATCCTAGAAAAAATAATTTTAGTTGAAAACTTATTTCAGACATATACCTACAAAGATGATTACTTACTGGTTTGCACGTATAGTCCCGAGGTTTTATCTTCGAGGACAAATTCATGACAGATTCCGTTGTGTCATGTCAAACACCGATAATATGGAACTCTGATATAATTCCTTCGCCAAAGTGTTCTTTTTCTTTATCAAAAAGAGAAATATTTTAAGGTATACATGTAACTCTACGGTATCTCTCTCTCTCTCTCTCTCTCTCTCTCTCTCCATGTGTGTGTGTGTGTGTGTGTGTGTGTGTGTGTGAATACATTGATATTAAGCTCTTTATGGAGCTATGTACTATACTCATAAAAATCCTACATTATATTTATCGTTTGCATTTTAAAATATTTACTATAATTTGTTTGTATTTATTTTAAATGTGACTATAAAGCTGCGAATGAAATAGTTATCAAACCTCCCTTCTACGTTTTCTATCTGCACATCTTTTTTAAAGTTACCTTTGTTTCACTTTACCAGTTTTATCTTACATTGCTTTTTTTCTCATTAATTTTTATAAGTAACATGTTTTGATTTTTCAACAAAATGGGTCCTTAAAACATATTAGAATAAATCTATTATCTCTTCTGGTACTTGTTGATTTTGTCTATAAATCCACGTGTCATATCACGTGCTATTTTTCAAGTATTCTTGTTTTACTGGGATTTTATTATCATTAAAGATACACAAATAAATCGACGAAGAACTTACGTAAACCTACAAAAAAGCATAATCATGACTTCTGTTGATATGCAGAAAAGGATAGTGAACCGTGATCTGATCCAGATAAGTTGATGTGTACTGTTATATGAAGATAATGTACAGCACTCAAGCTCAAAAGTCCATTGAAACAATACAAGTGTTGAGCAGAGCAAACACCAACCTCTAAAAGCATCAGAGATGGGATTAGGTACCATGGAGGAGTAAGCATCCCCTGTCAACTGGTCACCCCGCCGTTTGCTCCTTGTCATGATCGGGCAAATGGAAAAATCCGTAGACAATTCAGTGTGTAAATAATGGCCTAACTAACAATTGGTATGAAAAACGAGAGTGAGCATTCGACTTAATGATATATTGTATCGACCATTGACCTGATTTGGTCTGTCGTAAGTCAGATATGGTCCAAATGTTTTTTTTCTTTCCACATTAGCATTGAGAGGAAGTGACCGTCCTTGTCAAGTATGTGTGTTAACATAACATATCAGGATATATGACAGAGCATCTGTACAGATTCCACGATAATGCATCGATAGTCCAGATGGATGTCTCATGTAGGAGAAACGAAGGTTTTCCCGGCCATCTGTTTCCACTACAGCACTACAGTTATATTTCCTATAGTTCCAGTTACAATGAATCTCTATTATGCTTTTCAGTATAGTAGGTTGGATAGGTACTGTGGAATTATGTTTTTCCTTCAGAAAAAAAGTTTATCCCAATAGAACCTCAGCTCGAATATAGCTTAAGGAAGTGAAGACATGGTAAAATGAATTCATTTCAATCAGAATTTCAATAAGGCTCCGGTAGATTTATTACATACCAAAAGACAAGATATAAGCAAAAAAAATCATCTCTTTTCTCTCTTGATATGAATAAGACTTTACAGAAATATGAAAACATTCTTGAATGCACTGTCTTAACGCTGTTATACATGTTCATTTAAAGCTTGTCGACGCAGTTTTCTGGCCAGTTACATGTAGTGCAGGCAGTCTTTTCTTGATGAAAGAATCCCTTTCTGATTTTGAAAAAATATGCCTTTTCCTTCAAACATTTACAAATATTCTACAATTATTTCTTTGCTTTTTTATTTTTTTGTCCGCAAGTACTGTTTCTTACAACGAATCCTATGTCTTAGGAGGAAAACAAAAAAAAAATCTTGAAATATATTAGACAGTTAGGCTGCAGCAGATGTATGCTAGATGATAAGATGGAGCAAGTAAAAGCATACGAAAAACACACCTTTGTCATTAGTACAAAATAAAATTTATCTTCATTCCATTATATATTAACGCTGTGTTTGAGAGTCTGAACTTTTTTCCTGTTTATTTTTATCTGGCGTCTCCAGGGGTCCGTGTTTTTTGTCCTGTTCACGTTGATTTGTATTTCTTAATTGATTTATAGGATTGATCAGTTATTTCACATTTGTTATCAGTTTTTTTTAAAATCTATTTGGCCTTTGTCCATGCAAGAAATCAGAAAAAAATTACCACCTTAAGTATTGATTTACATGAAAAACCATCCGTTTTAGAGAAGTCATTGTCATCAGAAAAAAAATTGTCAGGCCTGGGACCAAACTCAGGAATTAGTAGTACAGGCATCAATAAAACATCTGTTGAATTCCACATAATTTTTCTCAAGGTTTGATTATGGAACAGGAAAAAGCACTCATGGTATTTGCGTTCTTTAGTTGTTTATGACTCTGTATCGATTTCCTGACAGTAGTTGAAAATAGAAACAAAGGTGAAAATATTTTTTTTTATCTTTTAATACTTTTTTTATTTTAAACATATACCAACTGTCATTTTCAGCAGGCAAAAAATGTTCAAAAACAACAAAGTATTGATGAACAAACAAATTACTGTTACTCATATTCACCTAAATAGGGAAAATAAATGATACTTAAGTATTCAATTACTTTATCATGGTCTAATATAATATCTTAAATGAACTACTTGGAATTGATTTTAAACCACGAACTTCACGGTAGATTTCTGTTCATTCAATTTTTAATCGAAGGACAGATCTCTTTGCATAAATGGGTAAATCCCCATACACCTTTGATTGGACCTGGATAACGAATTATTTTTTCTATGTATCCAAATAAATTTCTTGTAAACCCAAGTCCGATCAAAAATGTTTCAAACTATCGATAAGCTTTACTACGTGCTAAAATGCATCTTGAGGTCGTTTTTTTTTTGCCATTCTCTATCCAGAGTTGTCTTCCGCTACGCTCCCAAAACCTCTGTAAACGCTTGATGTACAAGATTCTTGTATAAGTATTGAAAAGTGAATATTTAGAGCTCGATTCATAATAAATAAATGTAACTATCAATAAAGATTATATTTTTATGTCATCCTAATTTTTTTTAAATTACTAGTTATGGGAAAAAAGTATAAAAGAGAGTAATTTTTTTTTTATATTAATAGCAATTAGAAATGAAGACAATTGCAATGTATTGTCTCTTTTTTGTTTGAGTCTATGCATATTTCGGTAATTCAATAAACAAAAGCTTATTTAAAGAATTTTTTTAAAAAATCTAATTACCATTACCTGTCAAAAAGTCCTGTCTCTTGATATACCTGTATATACAGAAAATATTACTAAACCGTGACCCGATCCAGAGAAGGTGATTTTTACCATCAAAAGCCATACTGTATGATCTAAACATTCCCTGTTGTTTCCTCAGTAGCATAAAGAGGAATTGGCCGTCCTTGTCAAGCACGTGTATTGTATGTGTGTTAACATCACATACGAGGATATGTGACAGAGTATCTGTACAGATTCCGCGAGGATCCAACGGTAGTCCAGATGGATGTCTTTTGTAGGAGAAGCGATGGTTTCCCCGACCATCTGTAACCACTACAGCACCACAGTTATAGTGCCGAGTGTCAGATACAAGAATATCTCTATTATGATTTTCCGTGATGTAGATAGGACAGCTATAAAGCGTTTTATCTGAAGTTTTATTCTTTATAGTCTGGACGAGTTTCAAACTGCTGTTGTACCGGATCACTTTGCTATGTGAATATCTGCGTTTTTCTGAATTATATCTACCCATCCCTACCAGCAGATCTCCGTTAAAGGGTGAGAAGTAGACACAAAGTGGAGAATCCAGTCCTGTTTTCCCTATCAGTTTTGTTGTTTTTGAATCGAAGGAAATTTTGTTGATGTTGAATTTATCATCAATAAATATCAACTCTCCCGAATTTGTCGCTGTATGAACTCCATAATCACTGTTTATTACGTTTATTTGCTGAGTGAGAGTGTCTCCTGCCGAGTTTGTCTTGATGAGATTATTAGTATCACTGACCCAAAATTGGTCTGAGGACATATAGGAGATGTGACGACAGGCAAGCAAACCTGTGACAGCGACTGATTTCTTTAACACAGGTGAAGACATTGGTTTTAGTACCCACTCATTTCCTACTTCTCGTTTTCCTTCACCTGTGATGTGAAAGGCTCCCAAAAGTTTGGTTACTTTGTCTTTGTTGATCTTCTCATTCAAGAGGAGAATTGACAATTTAAAGATATCGGACTTTTCTTTTTTTATTTTAGTTTTCTTGAAAAATGGAAGGAATTGCAAGGGTTTCTTTGATAACAGAACGCATCTATTTTCATATTTCTCAAAAATGGAAATACGCCTTTGTAATTTTTTCTTCATAGATTGCAAGCAAAAGACCAAATTAAATGAGGTTTGGCTTAATTGCTCAGGAAATATAACATCTATTTGATGTTTGAGCCTCTGAACCTTGTTTGTTATCTTTGGGACGATCCTGGCGATATCTAATTGAAGAGTTTCCATTTCTGTTTTGAAATCGGCTTTCATGGAGGCTAAAGAAGCTCTATTCATCGGAAGAATCTCACTTCTAAAGTGAAGAATTCTACTTTTGTACAGTTGTCTGTTCCTTTTATATGCTGATTTGATATCTAGGACCTCATGTTTTCTGTGTTCTGAACAATTAAAACAGACAGGAAGCTCACATGATGCGCACCACATCTCATAAATTCTGTCTGGATGTCTTTTACAAATTTCATGTGTTGTAATTTCTCCAAACCTTTCTCTCTTTATCTCGACGTCATGCATTTTCATATCCAAGTCGACGACATGTTTTTCTTTACATCGGGAACAGAGGCCTTGTTCACATGTGTTACAGTAATATTCCCTTTTCCGATGAGTACATTTAAATACTTTCTCAGTAGATTTCACTCTCTTTTCCATTTTTTACACAGTATTTATAAAGAATCCTGACAATGAAAAAAAAAGACTTTTGACAAATTAATCTGTCTTTCATGTATGAAGATCTACACTTAATTTAACGTATTGATATTATTAGCAGAATGTTACTAGCTTATGTTTAACATAAATATATTGCTATATGATGTTTTCCCTTCAGAAAAGAGTTTACCCTATGGTAAACGTACCTTGAATATGAACTTTAGCAAGACACGATAATATGAATTCTTTTTAAAGTGAAATATACGGAGATAACGAACAGTATTCAAGCTTAAAAGTCCATTAAACATTACAAAATAGGTGCACAACAAACACGGACCTCCAAAACATCAGAGATGGGATCAGGTGCCATGGAGGAGTGAGCATCCCCTGCCGACCGGTCACACCCGCCGTGTGCTACTTGTCATGATCGGAAAATAACGGAAAAATCCGTGGACAATTCAATGTGTAAATAATGGCCTAACAATTAGTATGAAAAACGTCAGTCAGCATTTGACTCAATGATAAATTGTATTTGCTGACAGGGTTAAAAATTACAATTCAGCCAAGGAGATATGTCAAATATTATTTTTTTAAAAAATGAAGACAGATGCAAAAATGACGCATGCCCTTTTTCCTCTGGTGAAATTAACAAGACCTACCAGAAATACGGAACATTCTTGAAAGCACCGTCTTATCTCTGTTACGCATGTGCATTTACAGATTATCGTCTCACTTTTGTGGCCAGTCGGTACAAGTCACAATTGTGTTCATAAATCCATTTTCTGTTTTTTTCCCCAAAATAATGTTCTTCCACAAAATTTGAAATTTCAATTTGAAGCTTCTTATTTTCTTGTACACATGTACTATTTTCTTAAAACAAACCAGACGCCCCAGGATGGAATCCTAGAAGAAATCTAGACACATTTAAAACAGTAAGGCTATAGCAGGTGCACTTTATTATAAGATATGGAAAGCTAAAAAATAGCTTCCAATAATACGTTATAAAACATATCTTGAATTTCTTTTCACACTTTAGCTTATCGCTGCACTCAAGATTCCAAACTTTTTAAACATATTTCTTATATGATGTTTTCAGGAGTCTGTGCCTGTTCACAATCCATATTCTTGAATGCATTTTTTAAATAGGTCAATGCTCGTTATCTTCAATATTTTCATTGCATGTGTATTTGAATAAAGTACGTCTATTTGGTTTTGGTATATACATAAATGTGCATTATCCATGCAAGTAACCAAAGAAAAAACTTATTACCTTGAGTATGAAGATACTTAGAAGCCTTCCGTCTCAGATAAAACATTATCACCAGAGAACAATGTCAGGCCCTAGACCAGTTAGTATGTGAATCTGAACAAAACCTCCTCTATTGAATTCCACATCAGTTATCTCTAAGGTTTCCGTGATCACGGAACAGGACAAACACTTCAGGATGTTTGGGTCCCTTAGTTCTTTATGATTCTGTATTGATTTCTGGGGTGTTTTTGCACATGGAATAACAGTCAGGGAAGAGGCAGGTATTCATTGTCGTTTTATTGTTTATATACTAGTGAATCAAAGCTTTAAAATTTTCTACATGGTAAATCCAAGTTTCAAAATTTTTCAACTAAATTTATGTAGTAGTAGTAATTTAAGTCCAATTCTTTGTACTAGTTAATTAGATAATTACATGTATTCAGTTTAACATTAAAATTCAGTTTTCATTTTATATTGTAGTTAAGGTACTTACAGTCATACATTTTTTTTTACCGCTTTACCATTTATCAACTTTTAAACAAAATATTACTCTTATTCTTTAAAAAGTTCCATAATAAAGTAACTCATAGCGTCAAAGTTTCAGAGTACATGTATATTAATAAATAACAAAATGTTCAATTTTATACTATAGCTTACAATATTTATGTAGAATATTTGTTTCTTAGACATGTAGTTCGTACTTTATAAGACAACTAAGAAAACACATACTATGTAAAACCCTTTGTTAGCTTAAAATTTCTAGAAATGACATAATTTTTTAAGGTATATTTCTTATATACTGTATGCCTTTCCTTGCTGAAAAAGCTAGTAGCGCATATAGTGTACTAGATATTTACCATGGAAATTGTTGTGAATTCTAAAAATTTAAGCTGAAAGGGTTTTTTACACAGTAAGAGTCTTCTTAGTTTCTTGACTTTTTCAGCAAGAAAAAGAACACAGTATATTAGATAGTGTAAAATTTTTTGTGATTTTTAGAAATTTGTAGCAATAAAAAGGTTTTACATAGTACATAGTTTCTTAGTTATCTTGTAAAGTACCTCTTAAAAACAAAAGTTTTGTTAACCATATAGGCAAATACTTTCACTTTAAGAGGTATGAAGCTAGACCCCATTGAAACTTTACTCTAGAACTTTTTTTTAAGATTTAGAGCCTCACAGTATCTTAAAATGTTTATCAATGTTGTATTTTTTTAAAAAAAAAAAAAAAATTTTATATTTTCATAAATAGTAATATATCTTTTTGATATGAGAAAATTTCCTCTAGGAATTAAATAAATATATATAATATAACGATCTTGAAATTTAATTAATTGTAAAAATACTTTGATTACCTATAGATCTGTTAGGTCATTAGGATAGTAAATAAATAGCTAAATCCTAATTATTTGTAATTCAACAAAAAATACTGAGATGTCAAAGGTAATTTGATGTATACAGACAATTTTCACTTTTGATACATGTTTTATTTATGCATAGTGGATGTACTTTGAGTTTTTATTGACACAAAAAAACCCGTTGATACATTTCCAAAAGCACTCATTTGTGTTTGAAAATAGAACTCGAGATGACTGTCCTATTTATGTAAAAGTATCAGTTCTGAAAATTTGACACAAATGCTTATATTATCCTTCAATTTTTGTTACATTGCGCCGATGTGTGTGAAAAAAAATTGGCATAGATGATGATTTCAATTCAATTTTTCGTATTCTGTAAAGCCGGTTTATGAAGGTAAATAAATATGATAATGTAGGTCATAAATGTCGGAATATGAAATACTTCAGGCTATTCTAGAATTCTAAATATGAAATGCTTTCGAAATATAAGAATTTTACAATTTTCTCGGTACTTCTTAAATATTTTTCATGTAAAAATTCTTTAAGTGGGTACAGAAAACCAATTGTTTAGGATAGATCATCTCTCTCAATACTTTCGGTACTTTGATATAAATGTACCGGAGCCAAAAAGTCGAGGAACAAACATACAGAGCACCGTCTTGAAGGACAAATTTTATCTTAATTCTTTTAAGTTCATTTATAATTTACATGTAAGTATCTTACAATTTATTTAAATATGAGAAAGCAACAGTAAACACTTTAAGCACATAGGGTGTTCCAAGCTTTCAAAATAATTTCTGGAAAAAAAAATATATTCAAATACGTCGTGTTTACACATGTAAACGAAGTTCTTTATGACTCTAATTAATAGTATTCTTGTGGTAGTTGTCTTCCATTGCTTCGAAATCCTTATGTCAAGACCGAACCAATAGTTTTGTTAACAACCATATAGGCAAATACTTTCACATTAAGAGGTATGAAGCTAGACCCCATTGATTACTATACCTCAGTTTTCGATCTACATTGATTAAATAGTTGTTAATTTCTGTATGAAGTTTTTATATTCAGCATAAGGGTGAATTAAAAAATAATGACCGGCAATTTTCTTTTAAATTCACTTTACAATAACTTTTTTTTTTATTATACCATGATATTGTATATATGGCCAGTTATAATTTCTGAAGTAACAATAGGATAGACAAGTGCATAAAATATTTCAGAATTATTATTAATAGAAGTTAATTTGAAAAAAAAAATCTACATCTTTAAAGACTCTCTAATATGCATAATCAAAAGAAATTATAGTTGTTTATCCTTCTGTCTTCTGTTAGGAATATAACGATTAGATCTAAAACTTGATTGATTTTCTTCTCTTGTTTATGTGAAAAAAATATGCTTTGATTGTTAATTTTTCTTTTTTACATCAATTGTCTCAATTCTGGTTTGAAAAAAAAAATTAACATGAAAAAAATATGAAATATACAATAACTTTCTCCCAAAACAAGGTTTTGTTAATCATTCAGTAATCTGTTATTCAAATTTAGGCTAAAGAGATATTTTATATTTGTTTTCTTACAAAAAATACTAGATTTAGAAGTGATCCTATTCAAACTTATTTTGATGCACTCCTTAATCCGATATATTTTTTTATTAACATTTTTGCACACAATATGTCATATAAATTTGTAAAGCAATTTATCGCTTTGATATTTTTTTTATCATGTATAGCAAGTTTTTCATATTTTCTTGGCGTTAAAATATGATTATTTGTTTATTCAATATGTGATTAAAATTATATATTGAGTGATGAAATCTTTTCTGTGAATTGACTGTAAAATGTCCAAATATTCTGTAATTTATTGATAGATATAATGATAGTATCAAACATTATCTGCAATTAATTGTTTAGTAAAGACATTCATTGATAATTATAAAACAGTTTTGTTGCACCTCTTACTGCAGTAAGATTTAAAATTACAACCGTAAAGCACAAAAGTTTATTAAGTTTTGACAACATGAGGTTGTAATGAAATTTTGCAATATTTATAGTCTCAATATTGTTAAAATGATTTAAATGGTTTTTAAACTTGGCTTTATTTTTTGGAGTTACTCCCTGTCTGTAATCTTCACCCTTTTCATTATTCCTTATTAATGGTACAAACCATTCCAAGGAAGGAATGTGTCTCCTGCTACGGCATCAATATAGATATAAATAAATTTAAATGTTGCCAGCTATTTATTTGAATACTAGTATAATAGATCAAGCATTTGCATTTTAGAAGATAAAAGTGTTTTTAACAGGACATTTTGTTTCATATGACAAAACAATGTAAGTAATGGAAGTCAACCAGAATCATTCCACTCCTCAGTTTTTCTTTATATTTTTTCATATTTTATCATCGATAAATCTAACCTTTTTGTTGCACTCCTTATCAAGAGAATGCAAGACTTTAAAGCAGAATTGTGAAGCATCAATTACAACAGAACGTGTTTTGTTGTTTCAGTAAAGTTGTGGTGGAATTACTTGAATTTTATATCATTTTTTCAAAGTGAAAAGGTGAATTTCTTTAATTTCATTAAAACATTGAAAGAGTGAATTTAAAAAAAAAAAAAAACCAATCATCTGGATTGATAAAATTGAAAAACAAACAGATTTCAGTGATTAAACTGGCAATAATTTAGTACTAAATTATTCAAGAAGATCCTTATTGATCAAAGAATACTCATTATTACGAATAGAAGTCATTTCTTCATTGAACTTGGAGCTTTCAAAGAATGTATTGCACTCCTGACTGTAGAAATATATATCTGAAACAGATCCTGTAATTGATAGATCTATTTAGTACAAATATTCTTTGTGCCTTTATTTTTTAAAGTAGAAAGCAAAGAATCATACATTTATATACTGATAAAATATTTTCCATGTTGGGGAGCAAAACATCAAATGTTGCACTCCTGACATTAATTGATATCCACAGATACTTGACTCTCATTAATTCTGCTTTTAATTCATTTTTAACTTTTAAATGGTATACCAGTTATTGTTTACACTTTGAAAATTCATTTTGGCCAAATAGAAAGAAATACAAATTTTAAGAATCAATGTTTTTCTGGCAACATTACATATTTTTCTGTTGCACTCCTACATGGCATAACTTTTTTTTTTTTTACAATATCAGTCATGACAATAACTTGGTCAAACTAAAGATACAACTGTTTAAATTTAACCTCATTGCATTGAATTTTTACAATGAAAGTCTTCATTTCCAAATAAATCATTATTATTTATTCCACATATCTTCAAAAAATACCAAATGATCAAATGTCACAAAAAGGTATTGCACTTCTGATATTTTTATCATTATATTTTGACATAACTTTTTTGAGACATAAGATATCAATACGATTTTTGGCAGTTAATAAAACTATCTCAAAAAGATATGCCGAGTGATAGAAAGGTGCCTGCATTTTCAGCGCAGGTAGATAATTACGTATCAAGTCTTTTTTTTTTTTTTTTTTTTTTTTTTTTTTTTTTGTAAGTGGGTTACCATATATCTTATGTATTGGAATCTCTGTATATCTACAATAATATATTTAACAAACATGAAATAATTAAATGATTAACGTAATATTTCAAAATTAAAATTTACAATGATTTTGTAAACTACGAGGGTCATTCAGAAAGTTCGTAGACTTTTGTCATAACTTTTTTATCTAGCGTCATATTATAACGAAATTAGGTAGACATACTTTAACAATAAATCCAAGTTATTCGAATTGAAAAAAATCAACTATATCATGATAAATATCCAAATTATTTAAAATTTGAAACTGTGAAAATAGGGTTAGAAGGTCAAAATTGGGTAAATCTCTAACAATACACTTATGTTTATAGTTATATCTCTAACATATGGCGCTTAAACAAAATAAAATATAGTAATATAGTAAAATATAAGTAGAGACTTTGAATCGAAGGATTTACAGTCTTCGAGGAAACAGATTTGAATTAAAAAATCTGGTCAAAAGACTTAGTTAAGTCATGGGAAGTGATAAGTAGCTTCATTGTTGTGGAACTTATAAAAGCAGAGCTACGCAATAAAGAATATGAAAACACTGACAAACTAACTCGAACAATTGTTTGCTAACTATGTGTCAAGTATAATGGAGACCTTTTCAATGAGTTAATAAGGCGCTACAAACCGTGTGAGAAATGACGAGGAAGAGTAATAGTGAGTAACTTTCACGACGTTGTTTTTGACGTACAATGTAGTTAAGAGTACTCCGTGGTGACAAAACATGTTGAATTTGAAACTAATTTAATCCTTTTAATCAAATCGAATGAAACTTCACACAACGATAAAATAAATGTTTTTGCACTTGAGAATGTGTTGATCATAAATCTTGTAAAAGTAATATAATGATGAGCGATATTGTTAACGTATTTTTTGAATGACCCTAGTACTGCATGTTTATACTGCAAATTTTCGGACAACATTTTATAAAATTCGTTTAATTGCAAATATGTATCATAGGCTGATCAATACTTAATTGTTTAATGTTCATTAATTTTATTCCATTATATTGGTAGAAGAAAAGAAAAGACATTAAATGCTTGAAAATTTTACTTTTACAGAACAAGATCGCTCCACCCAACAACTTTTTAACGGAAGAAAACATATCGACTGATGTAAACATTTGGGGTAACAATAAAAACTATAATGAATAAAGGCCTTTCGAAACATCGTGAAGTTCAGAAGTGTTCTATATGTAAGGATAAGGCGGAATTTTACTGCAAAACTTGTATACAAAACCTCTGTGCTCCTTGTGAAAGAAAACATGTGATAGATCTTGACACGAAATACCATGATGGAGTAATTTACCGTGCAAAGGCTGGGGACTTTATAATACCAGAAAAATGTGAGATATGTATAAAATTTGGTGCTATTCTTGTGAACAACCAATATGTGTAAAATGCAGCGGACATCGAAATCATAATATAATTGATATACAGGTAGTCTATAAAACGTGTAGACAAAAATTAAGAGATAAAATTGTTCATATCAGAAGTGATATACTTCTATATGATACAGTGATCATGGACGGACTCAAAACAAATGTCAAAACAGATATAAACACTCTTCAAATAGAGATAGCAAATATCAAGCAAAGTATTACAGAAAAAGCTCATATACTTAAAAATCAAATAGATGCAGTGAATCCTCTCAAAAAGCATTATTGCAATAAGCAATGATTTAAAATGTATGATGGAACAAAAGGAACAAGCAATAAAAAGACACATTTCTATCATTCAGAAGTATGAACACTCATACGAACTTTCGGCTAAAAGACCAGTACAATTTCTCTTATCCATTAAGAAAATCTCTATTTCAAACAGATTGCATAACTATGATACCTTTGCCATTATTTTCAACGAGGAAATAAAAACTTGGGATGTGACTGAATTTTTGATAAAATTCGAAGTCATGGAGAGACGAAAGAGAAGGGTAGGAAGTGAGGAGATGCTAAAGTTGATGTCAAAACCGGTACTACAAAAATATGTCCCATCAAAAAATATACCTAGCGCTTATCATATTTCCCATGTAACATCCGATCTAGTCTGGGTTAGTCATCTCAATAATGTCTTGTTGATAAACACGGCAGGGGACACATATCATCTAAATGATGTTACAATTTCTAGTGCATTTGGAGTGCACTGCATGAACAAGAATGGTGATCTGATTTATATAGACAGAAATCATAACAGCTCTGTGATATCTTCAGACCACACCAAAAGAAGTATATTGGTTAAAAAATCAGAATTATGGACACCACTATGTATTTACAGTTCTCCTTCTACAGGGGATTTGCTTGTTGGTATGGGAACTGGGTATTGTGAGAGTACTAGTTTTAAATATATCAGTACAAAAGTAATTCGGTATAACAGCTTAGGACAACATGTCCACGCCATCCAGTACAGCGATTCAGGCGAAAAATTGTATTACCATCCCACCTACATCACAGAGAATCAAAACGAAGATATTGTAGTGGCAGATTTTTGTTGCTTAAAGGTGACAGACTATAGTGGAAGACACCGTTTCACATACACCGGAAATCCATCAGTATCAGAAAACAAATTTACTGCGTATGGAATCTGCACAGATGCGCTGCTTAACATTCTGGTATGTGACGTTTTATACAAGACTGTTCATTTGATTGATAAAGATGGACTCTTTCTGTTTTACCTATTTTCAGAGGAACAAGGATTTTTAGACCAGCATGTTTAGCATATGATCGCAAAACTCACCATCTCTGGTATGGTCAATCGGACGCAATAAAAACACATCGCGCCTACGTATATACAGATATATTACCAGAAAGAGTTCTGTTTCAGGTAATTTTGAAATACTTTCCCGCTAAATGAGCTCATATCTCACGATAAACAATGGCTATAGTGTTTAATCATGACGAAATGTTGTATATTGCGTCAAATTCACGAACGTGTTATTTTGATGACCTTTTCTTTTTTCCTAAGACATTTGAACAAATTTCACTTAGGGCCTTTTTGGCCCTATAATTTCTGAAAAATCAAAACTGCTCAGTTTTAGTTGAAAAAATATTAAATTTTACTTGGGCCGTTGATGACTGCATATCAATTAAAAATGAAGTAATTTTCTCTACAGCCCATGTATTATGACGTCTTGGATTGCGTCATGTTCCTTAATTCCTGACAATTTCTTTAAAAATGGCCAAATATTTAAGCTGTTTTTCAATATTTTGCATAGCCTCCAACCTCTGATATAAAAATTTTAATTATATAATGAAAGAAGTTTCAGAAGATTCTTATCCATGAAAACATTTTTGGATCGTCGAGTGGGCTCATATTTCAATTATTAGCTGAAGATGCTCAAATTCATCCATTTTCTTCGAAATTCAAGAATATTACAATTTCGTAAAACCTATTTTGCAATAACTGAACTCTCAAAGAAATTTCATTTATAGGAAGTTAAATGAAAGCACTAAGTCTCTTCTTTATAGTAATGTTTAAAATGGAAAACATTGGGACTTTTTCAGATAAATGGTATAGGGACAAGGCCATTTTATAGAATTAGTGAGCCTAGCTCTTTTCATATGATGGTTACATGTTGAAGTTTACTTTACGGATCACTAGAATAACATAGTAGCAAATGGTCTTTCCTTCCATCCGATGAAATTGAAGATTTTGATTATTAAGCTTAGTATTTTGATGACTAGAACATCGTGCAAAATAAATGAAGGTCGTAAATAAAATATACATTCAGTTAGGTGATTTTTATTTGCATTAAATGTACAAAATACTGTTGCAACAATGAGACGACCTTAATCAAAATAAGTTAATATGACTGACTACAGAAATAATGCTCATACGTTTAAAGAAACTTTTGTTAAACCGATGACGGATATTCTCTGAAACATCTATTCAACGTTATGGTAACATATCAGTTTTGGAATGTAAAACAGAGAATTGTTTTTTCATTTCAATCCAAGGCATATCGAATCTAAGTCGATAAGGATGATACTTTAGTTAAAATGCATAATGTATGTAAATTTTGTATCTAATTTTGAATTAGATAGAACTAATTTTTAAACAACTTTTGATAATTGTGTTTTATTTAAGATTGAGAAATATAGACAGATCATAACTGTTGCTTGGGGAAAGTGCAGATTTGAAGAACAGCACCAACGTGTATAATTATTAATGTACTAGAGGAATTGATACTGAAATATAGACACAATCTTGAACATCATTCAATTTTGTTTTACAATTCTGAATCCGTGTGCCTGTAGTTATTTATTTTATATGCTTTGCTTTTTTTTTTTTTTAAAAATAAGACAATATACATATATATTTACATTTCTAAGTTTCTTTGTCCGAGATAAAAATTCAAATAATAAAAATACTTGATTTCTACATAAGACGACTTCTTCATCGATAGGTGTTTTTAACAAAAATCACAAGAGAGAGAGAGAGAGAGAGAGAGAGAGAGAGAGAGAGAGAGAGAGAGAGAGAGAGAGAAGTATGTAGGGCTTGGAACATGTGAATTTATGAAATCAAGAGCATTTAAATATAAGAAATAACTGTCAGATTTTTTAAAGTTTATGATGATTATCATTAATTGCCTTGCGTAATAATTTTATTTATAAACGCTTCGGCGTTTATGTAAATTATCACGCAAGCCAATTGCTTGATCACATCATAAAACTTAAAAGGTATTCCTTAAATAAATATTTAAAAAGTGAAGAAATTATTAAAATGTTGCATTTTTCTTAAGAGCCTATCGATACCTAAGTTGTATAACTAACCTACAAATTAACCTAGCTGTCTCATAATATATTATTTTATAAACAAGCACACTTGAATGTTACGATTTTAAAATTTTATTTCAAGTGACCTCACACGCAGATAAAGGTTAGAAAAATGTTTTGAACGTGTATTTTTTTTTTTCAAAACTGTCATTTATTTTCAATTTGAAACAAAATGTTTTAATAGGCAAAATTGGCAAGTCAAAATTATTGATTTCGTATTTTAGTACCAGATACACAGTTTAGTTGATAATCAAGGAAAATCTCCATTTTGTTCTAAAATCTGATGAATGTTTAAAGTTATGCTTATTCATTTGATATTCCATTCAATTAATATCATACCTAAATAATACTAGCAATGTATCTTGTTCATGGACAGCATTTTTTGCAGGCAGGACTAATTTGACATGTAGTTACTCTTGCTTTACTTTTTCTACAGAATTTGAGACATCAAGGAACATGCGGCGTTAATGTTGACGTTGATATTTTTTCTGCAGTTAAATATAAAATAGAAAATGTTTATCTTGGGGATTTGATAAGCTGAAATCAGTGTAGAAACACTCTTATATTAATTTTGGCTCGTTCTTAATATATTTTTAGTATCTCGTTTCCCTCTCTTCCAGTTCCTCTGATTATAACAAACAAACATATGTTGCCGGGTCCAGTAAATGCTCTACCAAGCCCCTATTTGTATACCTGACCAAAATAAAATTTCCAAGTTCCGTTTTTATGAAAGAAGCAGTTGTCTATAAAATTAAAAAGCCTAGTTTTTAATTTATCGTGAATAATGGTTCTATAAAGTGTAGAAAATTCATTCGTTTTGATGTAGAATTTTGAAAAAAAAATTGTGATTTCAAATATTTTTAAAAGTACATTATAGTTTTTGAGGATCCACATCTGATTTACACTACTTTTAGAATATGCTGTAGCACAGTACGTCTGAAGTTTCTCCTAAACGGCAGTTATAATATTTTGGTAAGGAGTAAAGATAGGGACTTGTTAGAGCATTTGCTGGAGCCGTCTATATATCATTGTTTGTAAGGATTTTTATGAAGTTTAGGAATCCAGTATAGGTAAACTATATAGGTATAATAGAATAAGTAGGGTAGGGGTTGTTGACTGGAGTGGTAAAAGTATATAAACAAAAGCTGAAATGTGATTTTGAAGAATTTCATTCTTGGGAAGTGAACTGCGAGTAAATATAGCATTTCCAGACGTAGAATTACAACCAAGATTCTCCAAAATGCAATTACAATAATCCGCTCTACAAACAATGCAAAGACTATATATTGTTACTAGCCTTCTCTGCTGGAACCATGACATACTGTTCATGTAGTCTCTCTAATTCTTTTATCACCTCCGATTTTGTGAAAACGGAAGCTAAGGAAAGATGGTTCGCATTTTGCCTTTAAATTTCTTGCACTGTTCTTTAATATTTTTAAAAACATTTAATCCATCCTGACGAAGTGTTCAGGTCTACTTTTTTCTATTTAGTCCATCGTTTGGCATAATCTTCCAAAGAATTCTCGATAGAAACGAAGTTAGTCTCAGATAAAATATCTGGATTCCCTGTATGAAGGTTCGGACCTTAATATTTTACGATGATTGTTTTTAGGCCTTTATTTTCAAATACTTAAGAAAGGGTTATTATATACATTCAATTAACAGCGAAGATGTTTAATTTTCTTTGAAGTAGATTGTTTGTTTGTTTATTCTTTATCGTCTCTCTCAAGAATATTTCAATCATATCGAGACGCCACCACTTGCCGGTGGAAGGCTGCAAATTTATTCCAATACTCGGCACTCAGGGCCATCGAGCAATGAAGGATCTTTTTTGTGTCAACACTTACTGCAACAGGGGACCTCGGTTTATACTGTCTCATCCGAATGACCAGTCTCCATGTCCAGCAGTGGATTCGAACAGGATCAGCTCCTTACTCCGCGACTCTAGAGCAGAGGCTCTAACCACTGCGCCACGCGGGCGACACAACCACCATTCGCCATTTACCAAAATATTAGAATCTGATTTTTATCAGATCGTCAATGATCGTCAATGCAATATAACTGTGGTATCACATTATTGGATGTGCTTATATACACAAACTGCCTTCACTAAGTTTATGTAAATTAAGTGTTTAAAATTCTATACTTGGAATAATCAGGCGCCGAAATGTGAATGTTCATTAATCATGTCTTTAGTCCTAATTTTGGTTTTGAAGGTTAATCTACCGACTTTGTATAAATTATATGCATTTTTTGCACGGCCATAGATCTTTCTTACTCTATTTATTGAAACAGTAAAGGTTTGGGTTTTTTTATTGTTATCGTGTATATGTAGCGCCGTTAAATCCCCATTGTTCCTGTATGCTAATTTCACTGTTTTCTTCTTATTATAACTGTATACAGGGAAAGTTTCTCCCCTGCTTTATTTTTGCCCCTCTCGCCCTACTCATAAGTGAGCGAATTTACGACGGGGCGAATTCAAAGAACACAGTATAATTTCTTAAACAGAACTGTGACGGCGTATTGAAAACGGGGCAAAATTGTTTGCAAGTATGAAAAGGCGAAAATTACCCTGTATACAGTACTAGTATATATGATTTTTTTTCCTAAAACATAGATTTAACGTTCTTTCACACAGGAATAAGTGGTATGTATGGAATAGCTTGATGGTTGTCGAGTAACATTTTGAATATAGTTCTTTGTAAGCAGTGAAATTTAATTTCGATAAATAAGAACAAAAATCTGTAAACGTTTTAATATTCAATATTCAAAAAGGGAATAAACAAACTTTAACCAGTAAAATAAACATTTTAAAAAACTTTCAACTTTCACCTTTGAAGAGCCAAGACAAATAGTCCTGACAGAAAGGGAAATGTGTATTAAGGCGGAAAAGTACACATGACACAACGTTGCTATAATCGCAATGAACATTTCCATTTTTTTAGGGAAACATTTTATACATGAAAATATAATCCATGTAATTAAAATCCCTTTAAATAAAACGACATAACGAACAAAAGAAAATTGCAATTAATGACTTCTTAATTTTTTATAGCAATTGTTAAAAAGTGTTTCTCTATTTTATGGTTAACAGATATGAGTTCTTTATTGCCTACAAACATTAAAATTTGTATTTATTCTTTTTACTTTGTTTTTGCAAGTTTTCATATAGTAGGGCTACCCTTATGTCTGTAAAGAACTGATAAAGAAATCATTCAAAGCCAAGAACTGCTCAAGGATAATACAGACTAATAGGTGTATGTCAGTTTACTGCTGAAGAAGGCAAAGCTTTTTGAAAAAGCTATTCTTGTTAATTTTCTATCTATAGAATAGTTTTTTTTAATTTGGGTATATATGGAACAAGATGAGGATCAAGGATTTTTCTGATTGTCTCTTTTTGCGTCCTAATTAAACTCTTATTTATTGAAGTTTCTTTTTGGCCTATTCTGACGTGATTGTTCTTTCATGTCACTAGAGCGCGTAAGTACAATGTCGGTAACTACACAAAGATAAATTTCTACAGAAAATGTTATATATCTTCTTTAGAGGAGTCATGAGTTCTTGTCATTGCTAATTTTTTTTTCCATATCTACACGAATCTAAAAATGATTTCTTTATTTAATATTACATGTTTTATTCAGAATGGCATTTGAATTTTTGGATCCCCTAGTATATAAACATTTTTCTTAAAATATATTTTTAACAGAGACATACCGAATCAATTTTTGTTCATTGTACTAACAATAAATACTTGTTTCCTAACATTCTAAAAGGTATTTTTGACGAGGAGATTTTACCAAAGCGCCATCTCCACTTTTGATTGTGTATAACTCGACAATTTCCAATTTTATCTTTCACGGTTAGCTTACAAAATACAAAAAATGTAAAAAAATTGAATCACATGTTATTTGTTTTGTATTCTGTAGTTTCTAAACAAAAATGCTTTGACAAAACAAAAATGCTTTGATTTACCAGAATATTTACTAATCAATCCCTTATTCATAAAAAGTGAAAACTCTCCTTCAAGATATTTAGGAAAGTCAACTTGGATGACAATAAATAATATCTTTCCCGGTGTCTTTTTTTAAAATCATTGCTCAAATGTCTTCATTTTATGACCTTTCTATAGTTGTTTATCCAAACACTAAACCCGATAAGAAACCCCTTGGCTTTCTATCGGTTACTTTATCCATCAGCTTCCGGTTGGATTCGATCCAGCGCGAAATTAAACCCCTGGGTCTCTTACTTTCTTTTTTGTCTTTTTTCTTTTCAGGCTTCTTTTCTTGTACATTCCTACTTCTGCCTGGTGCTCTCCCACGTATAGTGCCTCGTCCACGTGAGGAAGATCTTCCTCGAGTATTTCCGCCAGTTAGTCTGCGTGTATTTCCCCCAGTTCGTCTGCGAGTATTTCCTCCAGTTGTTCTACGAATATTCAATCGATTTCGATTATTTACTCGATTAGGTCTCCTTATACTTGGCCTTCTTCTATTTGAGTTCTGTCTTCTCTCGTTAGCCAGACGTTTTTCCAGCTCCTTTATTCGTCTTTCCTGTTCTAGTCTTTCTTTCCTTAGTCTTTCCAGTTCCAACCTTCTTTTCTCTTCCTCAAAGGTTGCCGAGACCCATGGATCGACAGGACCGGGAAGCAATTCCCCGGGCCTCAAATGCCCCCTGTCTATCGTCACTAAACCATTTTCTCCATAGTACTTTGTGTCAGTGATTCCACGAGCTTGTTGGTCTCGAAGACGTCGCTGGACTTCGTCCATGGTTAACTGTACTTCACGTGGTATTCCATCAGGGCCGACTTCCGTGAACCATTGCACTTCTTGACCGCCATATCCACTTTGGCGATGCACCTCCCGACCACCATGTCCATGCGTATCATGAGCGCCATGTCCGTGCACATCTTGACCACCGTGTCCGTGCACATCTTGACCACCGTGGTTATGGTCATGTCCACCATGAACAACGAGAGCAGAACAGAGAGTTCCTATTAAAAAAAATTTAAAATGTGTTTTAAAAGAAAATGATCGGGAAGCGTTTATATGAAGCCAGATTTGCATTAGTTTTTGTTCTACTTAAGAAGGAGGACAAAAATTTACAGATATTTACATCAATTCTGCAAGTATACAACCTCCTAAACGGATCAGCTTTCTTCCTGAGATTCATCTACGAATCAAGTTTCTCTGACATTGTGTAAAATATTTTTGGTTATTTGAAAATATTATTCGATGTATCAATCCTTCGTAGTTTACACGAATTTCTACCGACTTATCAGCCAATAACTCTTTTCCCCCTTCTCAAACGATAATGTCTTAAATACCTAGTTCATGCATGAAAAGTATGCAAAATCAAGGTTTTCTTTTAAAAGAAAGCAATTTATCCCCTCTATTTGATAAATGAATATATTTTAGATTCAAAGAAATATGAATGTACCCCATCCTCATAAACAATCGTTTAGTGTTCAAAAATTGAATTCTTTGCTTTCATTTCGGACAGCTGTTTTCTAAAATCCTGTTTTATGAAAAACTTCTCATTTCATTTTGCTATATTTAAGGTTATTGTTAAGCCTAAAAATTAATCGGAATCCCTTAATGACGAAAACGAAAGACAAAAAAGAGTGAAATATTCAAGAAATTCATCACACTTACCTGAAAGGAAATAAACAAGTAATGAGAAAAACATCGATGTGAACATTGTCCTGAATTATTATAAATATTGAGATTTTCTGTCGTCTTGGCTTTATGACTTTTAATCCCCACAGGTGTGTACCGCCCTCTAAGACAGTCATCTATCTTCACGCAATCCATCAGCAGTAAGTACTGTTACCAATAAACAACACACATTCTTAATGCTGAAGTAACATAGGTTCTCAACTGCCTGTGACGTAAGCTGAGAGAAGTTTCAAGGTTCATTGCATTTGACAGTCTATTTTCAATTATCATTGGTAGAGAAAATCAGTTATGAAACTATTACAAACATATTTGACAGTAATTGATTAGAACTTAACATATGTTTGTCAATTTTATTTTACTATTATTACTATTATCATTACCATTATTATTTTTAATTTTATTTTTATTTTTAGCATTATTATTATTGTAATTTACAGTAAAGTAAATACATGTACATTTTTAATATGCTATCCATATCATGTCATTGACTTGATATTTAGGATTTGTTTTCGTTTGCTTTTTGTTTTGTTTTTTTTTTCTGTTTTTTTTTATTTTGTAGCTGTTCGTGTTGTTCTTACCTGGTTTTGATCTGATCCTTTCCAAACCTTAAATGTCGCTTGAAGACTGTTCGTTATCTTCATATATTTCAATTTAACTTCCTTAGAAAAGTGCAAACATCAGTCACTGCGACAGTTGAATACATATGTATTTCAATTTCTATTAATTCTATTGATCGTTTTTTTCTTGGTTTTGGGGGATAGAAACACATAACGAGCTGGAGAAATGATAAAATGTTATCATTATGTGAAATTCATGTCGAACCCTTTCCTTCTCTAATCATCGGTTAAATAATAAACATTACTAAAGAAACACAGTCATAGTTTTTATAACGTTTAATTTCTGCCCCATTAGGTTTATCGATAATACTTAAGTTTAAAGTATTGTACAAATCCGAGAACAACAACTATAAACATTTGCAGAATTGCTTCTATCTAAAGTATAATTAAATAATATTAAATGTTTTATTATAATTATCAACAATTTTTTCCACTGTGTACTTGAATAACAAAACATCATGTTCCCATCCCTCAATGTTTATCCAAAAAAGCCCTTCTCCCTTACTCTATTTATCAACTTCCGGTTTGATTCAATCCATCGCGGAATTAACCCCCTAGGCCTCTTCGACTTTTCTTTTTTCTCTGGTTTCTTTTCTGGTTTAACGTTTGGAGGTCCTCTATTTCTGGCAAGTCTGGCATCACGTGTACGCTGTAATTCCGAGACAGGTGGACGAGTATTTCTTCTCAGGGTTAGTCTTCTGTTTGGATTTCTGTTTCTGTTTGGACGTCTGATTCTGTTTGGCCGTCTGATTCTGTTTGGCCGTCTCTGTGTTGTTTTTGTCTTTACCGCTGGCTTTTTTATTTTCTTCTCTTCTGCTAATTTTTTTCCCAGTTCCTTTATTCGTTTCTCTTGCTCTAATTTTTCTTTTTCCAGTCTCTCAAGTTCTAGTCTTTGTTTCTCTTCTTCCGGCGTCTCTTCTATTCCCACGGGACCTGATTCCCCGTGATAATTTATGTGGATGTTTCCCTGAGATTTCTGTTCCCGGAGGCGTCTTTGGACTTCCTCCATCGTTAGCTGGACTTCACGTGGTACTCCATCAGGACCTACCTCTGTAAACCATTGCAAGTTTTGACAACAAGGGCTATATTCTGTACCAGCTAGCTGACAACAACGGTTATAGCCGACACCAGCCACTGGAACCCCATGGACCTCTATCAAATATAAATGCAGACAACTGGTGACCAGAAAAAGATTTCATTACATAACTTAAACAATATGCAAGACATGTCTATGAAATTAAAAAAAAAATTTATAAGGTGATTTTCGTATACAAAATATATTTCTTAAATTCGTTTTATTGATAACTATAAATTTAAATCAAGGAATGGAATGAATAAAATTTTTGAAGGTTTTATGCGAATAAATGTGCTTGCAAAGTTTTACGAATTTGATAGCATTTTAATGTTGAATATTATACACCTATGTACTTGCTACGGGGACAATTGCAAAATTATAACCAGGTATTGTTCTAATAGTCAGTACATAGGTGTTTTATTATACAGTAGCAGACTTTACCTTTGTCACGTCACAATCCGGACATAACCATAGCATCATTTGCAATGTATCGCATCATACGTGCATATAAATTTCTCATGCAACTAAACATTTGTACCAAGCGTCTGACATTATTTTTTAGGCAAATATTGAATTTTTATCAATTACTTCAAACACCACCTTTGAAATATGCCACAGGTAAACGTATATAAATATAAAAGATATAAATTTTACCTTTAGAAGATTTTATCTTTATATAATATTCTATGTTTAATGAATGCTTCTTAATAATACTAATAGTAATTAATATTATTAATATTAATAATAATTAATGCTTCTTTCTAGATTCTTACTTACGTAATAGGAAGTTTAAGAGAAGAATGAAGAGTGATAATCTAACCATTGTCCAGAACTGTCACTGTAATGGTGGTACTGTCTTATTTATTACTTTTAAATATCACATCCTCCCCCAGGACGGTTCGATCTTCTCATCCATCTTCATCACTTTATTGATCACCAAATGACGGGCTCTTTTGCCAGTGAACAACAGATATTTGTAATGCTGGATAATTACTGGCCGTTAACATTTAGTGACGTAATGTGGGCTCAGATGTAAGGCTTGTTCTCATTGGTTGAATATGTTTTACCTTCAGAAAAAATCCATTTTGATAAATAGAGAATGTCCTCTGTTTTAAAGTATTTTATATTTAATTTGAGAAAAGTAGTCAGTCATAAATTAATTACCTTGATAAAAATTTAGGATGTGAAGATTTCTCTTAAAATTCCTGTAGCATACTTGATGTATTTTTCTCTGGAGATACATCATAAAGTATATTTTTACCTGCTAATTATGTCAGGTATATGTATAACTATCTTGAGTTAAGGATTTTTTTTTTATTTTGACATATCTAAGACATGTTAACTTGCATACAAGCACACCACATGTAGTTGGAAGGATTGTACATATATTTTAAGAAAGTTTTGTTTGCTTCTTTGTTTGCTGTTTAACGTCCCTTCAGAATTCTTTATTCATATTGAGACAACACTAATTGCCGGTGGAGGGCTGCAAATTTAGACCTGTACTCGGAACTTACGGCTTTTGAGCAATGGGGAATCTTTTTGGTGCCAGCTGCACCTACTGCGACACGGGACCTCGATTTATACGGTCTTAATCAAAGGACTGATCTCCACGTCACTCTGTGGATTCGATCCCGGGACGTAAGGATTAGCTGTCTGGAGCAAATGCTCTAACCACGCGGTCGACTATTTTAAAGAAGAATACAAATGAATCGTTAAAATGGTGTCAAATTGTTACTAACTTTAGTTTATATTTTCAAATGTACAGTTTCAGTTACACCATTTTTATAAATAAATATGATTATCAAAGATAAATATCTACATTTTTTCCCGAATTTATAATATTAGAATATAGTATGAAATGTCATTCAGGAAAGTTGTTTTTTGTTTTATTTTGATCGTTAGATAAAGTTATAGTATGAGATAAATATTTAGTATTCTCTAGGATGAAATAAGTTATCTGTGCATGTATCAAATTTTATTATTTCATTTTTTAAATTTTTTTTTCAAATATGGAAATATTTCGAAAGATTAAATAAATTATGTCCGGATGCATGACTAAAATACAGGTTTAAAATTATACTTAAAATTTATGAAGAGTATTTTAAAAATATATATATATAAACATTAACAAGATCAAAGTTTGACTTCTTTTGACAGACATAGAGGAAACATACCCTTAGGTGTGCGCCAAGCTCTGGGATGTTAATTATGAAATATGAAAATAATAATCAATTCAAGCTCAAAAGTCAATTGAAACAATACAGATTGGGAGCAAAGCAAACACTGACCTCTAAAATCATCGTAGATGGGATCGGGGGCCATGGAGGAGTAAGTATTCCCTGTCAACCGGTCACACCCGCTGTGTTCTCCTTGTCATGAAAACAGAAAAATCGGTAGACAATTCAGCGTAAAAATAATGGCATAACAATTTGTATGAAAAATGTCAGTCAACATTCGATTTAACGATAGATTGTATTCACTGTTTATTAGATGTATTTGATCATTGTATCGACCATAGAATTTGTGAAACATTGAATCTACACAAGACTGTTGATATCCTTATGACAGTGCCTAAATCTTAACATCTAATTGCCACAATGATTTATACAGCACACGCCTCTGAATATTCGTAATATAAGAACTGTTTCATTTTTGCACGAATGGTCTTTTTTGCAATCACATTCATTATACATACATGTATTTTAATTTTTTTGTTTTGTTTTGTTTTTTGTTTTTTTTTTCTTTTTCGGGGGGGGGGGGGGGGTCATTTCTTGATTTGAGAATCCATTAAAGATTAACAATGTAATTCATCTTTTTATTTGCAACTCTATTCTTCCATTTTTGCATATTTATTTAGGCATTTCATTGAAACCGAAAAATTTGCTTGACATATATTCCCCTCATACAATGTAAGGCATTACAGAAAAGAATACAAATTCAAAATCGATCAAATGGAGATGATCTATTGAATAGAAAGAGTGTCATGAAAAATACCATGTAAATAATAGTATTGAAATAGGTTGAAGATAACAAACAGTAATCGATCTAAAAAAAAAAATACCTATACACAATGCAAACTTTGAAGAGGGCATAAAACACGGACCCCTGAAATTCCAGAGGTTGTATCAGGTGCCTAAATTCATAGATAGTTTTGAAAATAAGTTTACAATTCAAGAAGAGCAAACAATCAAAACCCCTCGGTCATCAGCATCAAAAGACATGTACACCAATGTAACACAAATAAAGCCAGGGGTGGATGGTAGTTCAAAATGGACAGAATGTGTTCTGTGTGTGAAATGTATCAATCTTATTCAATCTTATTTTATGTAAAGGTCATTATAGATGAAAACTCACTGGAGCATAAAAAATCATATATGGATTATTTATATACTGACCTGGTTACATTTATCCTTGAGCAAATGAGCGATCTGTCTTTTTCAACGATAAGTTCATAAATATTGCTGTTGGGGACGTCTTAGGTTAATTGCATTTCTGAACCTTTTTTAAGTTTCTTCAGTTTCAAGCTCATAATTCTCTCAAAATCATATCTGTGACGTGTATGTGTCTTGGCTATGATAAGTTAAATAGTCATAATCATTGGAACATCTTTATATCATATTTTGTTCAAGATATAAGTAAATGCAAAAGATCCCCCCCCCCCCTCCAGTCTACGACATTGGAGATATAAATGCTTTGAGAGATGTCCTTTGTAATACAAATAAGGAAAAATCATGAACCCCATATTCCGCAAAAAAGAGAAAATTACGCCTTTCTATCAGCTGAAAAAGTATTCTACCGTCATCGAAGACACAAATGACTCAAAATATACTTAAGGACGTTGAATTTTAAAAATATCTGAGTATGTCGTGCTCCATAGGAATTTAAGTATAATTGAAGCATCAGCAAAAGTTGGAATAAACGTCAAATAGATATAAATCATATCTATCAATTACATGTATAGGTGTTTGTAATCTTTGGTTTAAAATATATTTATTCATTACAAATGAAATGGATTGAACAGCAGGCATAATGCCTATAATCGTTCTTTTCATAGGTCAAGGTACATATAACTCATGACCCCCGGGGATAAGATGAGACCACAGTGGGGAATTTGTACCTTGGAATATATAAGACAAATCTTTAAAAATTTCCTTCTCATGAACCACTGGGCTAGAAATTATTAAACTTATGTGGAAGCCTTCTGATGAAAAGTAGATGCTAAATTGTTCAAACATGACCCCTGGAGTTGGGGCGGGGTCACAATACAGGGAATGAAAGTTTTACATAGGAATTTAAAAGAAAAATCTAACATTTTCTTCACAAGAATCACTGGACAAGAAAGATGAAACCTATGTAAAGACTTCCTGGGGCGGTATAGATTGTAAACTGTTCAAATGATGCCCGGAGGGGGAGGGGGTAGCGTTGGGCCACACTATATGGGATCAAAGTTTTGCATAGAACTATACAAGTTTTTTTTTTTATTTCTAAAGAAACACAATATAACCATTTGTTTGAAAAACATTCCCACGTTGTGTGATTTTCTTTAATTATTGACCCCGTGTTAGAGTTGGATAAAATTGGGGTAGAATTGTACATAATGCATATCTACAGGAAAGGAATGTCCTTCTCCGTAACTGCAAGGCCATGTTACTCATATTGATATTAAAGCATCCCCATGGTGTGTGGATTCAGAGACCCTTTAGAGTAAGGGTGGGGTCATAACATGGGGTCACAATTTCAAAGGAATAGAAAAGTCTTCTTAAAATTGTATGAAGAACTTCAAGGCTAAGGTAACTTAGGTGAACGTTGTGGCCGATGGGTCCCTTGTTTTTAATAGATCAGGTAAGAAAGCTCCTTCATTGCATGGTGGGGGTTAATATTGTCAATATTCGTGTTTAGGCAGAAGAAATTATAGAAATATTAGGTATCTTTTTTAATGTAGGCTGAAGCCTTTCGTTCATTGTTATAGCGCAATTTGTTTACATTGTTGCTAGAAGACAATAAATATTTGATACAAAATAAAAGTGAAATATATGGCGAGGAAAAACAGTGTATATCAAGCGCAATAATCTGTTAGAAAATTGAATTTAGTTCTCTTTTGTTATCTCTCTTAGAATTGAAAAAAAAAAATCATGAGAAGATATTGATCATACCATGAATTTTTGATACCCCGAAATAACAGTCTAAATTGCAACAACTAAATCCACCTGACATACTAGTATATAATCTTTGTTTAATTCTTTAAATTCTGCTAGTAAAAAAAATAAATTTTCATACAAAACCTTAAAAACAATTAAAGAAAAATTATAAATGTCACTCATCAACCTCCCTCAAAACACATGACTTTACAACCCTTTATAAACCATTCCACATGCATAAATAGAAGACCAGGCTTTTGACCTCATAGAAAACTGCATCTTCAATAAATATGGACCTCGAATTTTTCATATATTGTGATGGTTATCAACAAAATTACTTTGTTAAAAAGCATTCTGATTCTAAACAGAAGTGCTCTGAAGTTGATATTAAAAAAAATGCTTGGGATTCTCATTGACGCTACCTGTATGTAGTATTTATTTGGAGTACAGATCTTCTAACAACCAGCAGTTTGAATTTCCATGCGTCCTTCTTTTGCCCCTTTATTAGCTGAACTGTATTTGTATTCGTGTGAAACAGAATTTCTGCAAAAACTTCTACATGGAAAAAAAGTCTCTTGCTGTGGCCTTCAATTCGACATTTATATATAGTTACGTTTTATAAATTGATAATAATCTTTTTTTCACACGTTGATTTGATATATCCCACAGAACATAAGATAAAAGACACAAAAGAGTCTAACACATCTGCTTCCTACCTGGATGTTTTCCTAGAGAAAGATATTGATCGCAAACTGACAACTCTAATTTCGATGGCTTCAACTTTTCTATCGTCAACTTCCCTAATACAGCCGTATACCCTAACAAAAAAAAATACTATAGTTATCTATAGCAACTATATAGTTAACTAGAGGAAACACGGACCTCATATGGAATATGATGAGTGTCTTCATTATTCAAAGAAAGGTTTGGGTAATAAGCTCAGAGAAGTACAATGTACAGATAAGGAAAATCTTAGAACCAAAGCAAAAACTAAATTAAAAAAAATCCTAATCTGTCTGTCATAAAAAAAAGCATGTCGGAAGTAGATTCATTTCACAAAATACCCTTAAGTATCTCGAATTTTGGACGCACTTGACTCTATCGCGCTACTCTCTATTTACAGCTCAATATTGTGATTTACTTGTAGCTTGAATGTCGGTTTGTCAAAAATTGAAACCTCAACAAAAAGAAGAATGTAGATTTCATGGGCATTAATCATATCTATATATTAAATATGCGTATGCCGTTGTTAACATTACTATATAAAATAAGTATATATCCATCATTTCATTAGATCATAAATAAAATATCTGCCATTGTATTGTAGATGTGAATATCGTCCGTATTTTATTTTTAGGACTGAAAACTTGCAGGAAACATTTGTTTTCCTCAGGATGCAGCCTGTAGCTATTACTCCATGAAAGAAAGATAAACAAGAGTAATCATGCAAGCTCAAAAGTCAATTGAAACAATTCAAATCTGGAGCAGAGCAAACAAACATGACCCCTAAAAGCATCATAGGTGGGATTAGGTGCCATGGAGGAGAAAGCATACCCTGCCGACCGGTCACAACCACCATGTGCTCATTGTCATTATCGGGCAAAAAGAAAATATCTGTAGATAATGAACTAACAGTTAGTATGAAAAACCGTCGATATGATAGATTGTATTTGTTAACAAGGTCATTGTATCGACCATACAACTTGCAAAATGATGACTTTAAACGAGACTGTTGAAATCCTTCTTTCATTAACTTTAATATTTGTCAGTTTCTTTTAAAACATCATCCAAAGAAATTAAATACATTTATTAGATTTCGACATTGAATGAAATCATGCGAGTTTGTTTATAATTTGAGAAGATATCCCCAGGAGAGTTAGTAAGTCTAAAGAATGGGTGTACTTCAATGCAATTTTTTAGCTTAAAATATATAACTTTTTTGATAAAAAAAAAATTATCGTGAATATTTTTAATAGCCTTCAGTGAAAGTCTAAAAAGCATGCGCAATCAAACAGGATCAACCCATCATCTTGAATTTTTATATAATGTCCTAAAAAAGAAATGAGCAAAGATTATAAATACAATCGTTCCATTTCCTTTTGATATGGTTTTTGTATATCTGAACTTTAATTTCATAAGATTCAAGCGCATCGGTCTTTCCTAATTTTATCTGTGGCATCTATTGTCTAATCAGTTCGTTATGTATATATTATTTTGGGATACGTAATGAAATAGGTGAAGATAACCATAAATTCGACTTGCTACACTACTCCTTAATTCTGTATCCCTAGCTTAGTAATAATGTGTGCCGCTCTAATCTTAATTTTATATTTTTCAAGGCATAAAAAATGTACATAGATGGATTTTTCTCAATGTTTAAAGTTCAATACAATTTATATCTGTGAATAGTAAGGAAAAAACATTAGGGAAAATATAAGTTCAGATAAATACGCTAAGTAATTGAAATAAGAAAAGCTTAATTCCAAAAAGCAAACTCCTTTCAATCTAACAATAAAAAAGTGCACTTTGGACATGGAAAAGCTAATCATTAAATGTGGAAGGACATGCAGGAATTTAAGTATCTGAATTTATCGTGCTTCCTTCGTTTTACAAAACAGTAATGTCATGCAGCTTAAAATTTGTCACGTGAAATTGAAACATCATGCAGCAATAAGTGAAATATAGGTTACATACGTAGCCGTTAATCATATTTATGTATATGTGTTTTTTATTATGTCAGGATAAATATCCATCATTTTTAATAGGTGGTTAAGAAATGTCCGTTGTTTTATCGTTGATATAAAAAGCAGTCAATATTTATGTATGGGCTGAATATTTAGAAAAAGAATATTCTGATTACTGAATTTAGCTGTCCAGTAAATTTAGGCCGTTTTCTATATATCACAACATTAGATTTTAACGTTAAGGTGAAACATCACGCGTAGTATTTTATCTTTTTCTTATTTATTTATTTATTTTTGATACAGGCAGATTGATTTGTTGCTGGAAAAGTTTTTTTCCCAATTCATTTCTCCATTGTTACCTTTCATTGCATTGAAAACATTTGCATTTGAAATAAAAAAAAAAAATAAAGATAGTTCTAAATTGAAATTTTTACTCAGTTCGCTTATTTCACAGCTCAGTATTGTTAAACAACTGGAATTTCGGCGTGTTAAATTGAAACCTCAGCAAAATGTGGAATGTGGGCTACATAGATATAATATATGTGAGTGATAGCATCATGATGTAAAGTTGATATCCATCATTTTAATAGATTATGTAAGAAAGCGCGTTTATTCTATCGTCGAGGTAAATTTTGCCAATTTGACATTAGTATGGGCTAAAAAAATATATCCATTTTTTTTTATCTTTCAAACTTTAGGTGTTACTTCGTCTTCCTTCTTTAAGCGCTGTTCTCTGCATCATCACCCGCGGAAATTAAATATTGAATTTCCGCATGTAGATCTGGCAAGGTTCCTATGTCTTGCTAGGATTTGTGAAACAGAGATCCCGAAGTGCATTTATCTGTTTTAAGAACTGATTTACTCCATTACGTGTTATTTTCCTTTGTAGCATTGAGAACATTAACGTGTTATTTTCCTTTTTAGCATTGAGAACATTAACGTGTTATTTTCCTTTGTAGCATTGAGAACATTAACGTGTTATTTTCCTTTTTAGCATTGAGAACATTAACGTGTTATTTTCCTTTGTAGCATTGAGAACATTAACGTGTTATTTTCCTTTTTAGCATTGAGAGCATTAACGTGTTATAATCAAGAGGAAAGGAAAAGTTTATTACGATTTTTTAAATATCCTTAAGGACCTATGGTACAAACTTTTTTCTCTCAAACAATCATGAAAATTAATAACAACTAAATCATGTTTATATACACTGTAAGTTAAAGGAATAATTTTAGCCGCACTGTTTCACTGTTTCACAATCTCTTACAAAGTGATAAAAAAATTTATAGATTTTTTCAGAATGACGGCAAAAAGGTTAAAATTTTTAACATCATAGAAAGTTTACAATTTCTAAATATTTTATAAATTTTATATTTGTATCAATTACAATCAATGTAAATGTAAGAGATAAATAATCGTTTTAGTAGGTCAAGTAAAAAAAAAAAAGACACTTAATCGTCTATTTGAAATGCTGTCAATGGGCTGAAAATTTGAAGGGTACATTTTTTTTCCTTTATAATAATGTCGCCCTTAACTGTTACGTGGTCAATTGCAATTAAGCGCCGTTTTCCTTTCCCGAGGAAATTAAATATTAGATTCCAGCCGCATGAGATCCCAAGGCGCATTTATACGTTTGTATAGAATGCATCTAATCCATTGGGTTCTTTCATAAGTTGTCTTTCTTGGCACATACGTTAAAATATCCATCGCCCTGGCCCAATCACACAACCTTCACAAAAAAACAAAAACAGATTGATCCAATGGTAGAACCTTAATCAGAACGATTCGATTTCATTAAGATATTTACAAAGATGTTTTAATTCGTATAATGATTTAAGTGTTTCATCATTTCATTTTGGGTAATTATTAATATCCCGGAGTAAAATTACTCTTTAATGTTCCTTTTTGCAAAAAAACAAATATTGTACTCAATACGTTTCATTAAATTATGCCTTCATTTATCAAGAATTTCAATGAAGGAAGTAAGAGTTTATCAAATTCAAGAACACTAAAGATTTGTTAAAACGATCACATTTAATCAACGCCTGGGCGGTTCAGAATTCTGTGGTATTCATACAATTGCCAGTATAATCATACTGTACATAGGATCCTATTGATGAGTGGAAATATGTATGGAAAATGACAAAGTAATCGATCAAAGTCGTCATCGATCAATTGATTAATTTACATCACAAGTTTGTAGTCTAATTATCCTGCCATTTAAAACTGATTGATTGATCAGTTCAAACTTAGATACGTGAATAGGATGTAAGATTGTACATGGAAACCTTTCATTGTCTTTTAATTCAATTAAAGAACAAAGAACTCTGTTATCGAAACACACACCTTTGATTTCAATTGAGACCGCTTATTTAAAGTCACCTATTTCTGTTATTTATTACTATTCTTGCTGTTCCTTCTGTCTGAGATGAGTGAAAGACGATCTTCTTAAAAACATTTATTCTTAGAATAAATATGTACAAATTTTTAAATATAATCATATAAAAAATACACACGCCATAAAAATGCTATAACTAGCCATTTACACCCACACACATTCAATTTGATTGTTCTTGGTAGAAGAAATCCTACAGAAGAAAACGAGGACGGAAGTGTCGAAAACGGCGGGAACGACTCTCCCTAGGTCTTGAAAAAGATATATGCCTGTCACTGAAAAATCTGCCTCGTTCTAGCACAGGCGGTCGGCGTTGTCGTATTGTCCTACCACTTTGACGTATTCCTGACCTTCTATCCGAATTACCAGGAAAAGGGACTCTTCTGCGATTATTGGAAGGTCTCCTGATCAAGTTTGAATCACGTGATCTTTGTCTGCTGATAGAGCTCAGTATACTGTTGACGTTCCTGTCTTGGGGCCTATTTCCTCTTATCCCTCTGTCTGTGGACCTGTTTCCAATACTGTCGCGGGGTCTGTTTCGCACATTTTCCTGTCTGCCACCGCGGATTATTTCTCCACGGTTGTCATTTAATCTATTATTCTCATTGAATCCGTTTCTTTCAGGAGACCGACGGTTTGGCGGTTCAAATCTGTCTCTATTAGGAGATCCATTACTTGGGGTTTCAAAGATCAAGTTGGGCAGACTTGACCTTAGGTCTCGGTTTTCCCCTGAAATACTTCCTCTTTCAAAATTTAAACGATTTGTATTGATAAAACCTGGCTGCCGTATCGGTTGACCAAATCCTGGCAGCACTTGGTTCTGTAAAAGGTTAGGGGCAATCTGACCCGGTAAAACTCCACCTCTTGGAGGAACGCCTACAGTTGGAAGTCCCAAAAACTGATTTCCAATATTGGGTGAAAATCCAAAAGATGGTGCCCCAAATGGTATTCCTCCACCTCCTACGTTTTGAAGTGCGCTAAGAGGGTCAATCTGAGGACGAGCGGCTGTCACAAACTGTTCTGATTCGGGTCCACCTGAGCCACGGGATTGAAGAGATGGAGATGCACCAGCCCCCACGATACCACTGGTGGGACCTGAGGAGAGATTTTCTGATTGCGGTAGCTCAAAAGCGTTTGCTAAAGAAGAATCGAGAGGTGGAGTAGATTCGAATCCTGTTGTTCCAGGAAGTCGTCCAGAGTTAAAATTTGGTTGAAATCTGACTGAAGAAGTAGAACTTCCACGTCCAGGATTTATAATGGCTGCCTGCTCATTTACATCCGGGACTATGGCATTTTCTGTCCCGGATGTTTGTCTGTTGCTTTTCAACGGTACAGACAGCCTGTCGATTTCTTTATTTACTTCGGAAAGTGCGCGCCGGAGCTCAGCAGCTGATAAGTCTTCTAGCTTAGTACTTGGGGAATTTGGTGGCCGTTGTCTTGATGTGTCGGATGAGGTAAACCTACTTCTGAGATCCCGAAGTTGGGCGATATTTGGTTGTATACTTTGACCAAAGGGGATTTGTCCTGTACCACGGGTTTCAGGAAGTGAAAATAAGTTTGTATTTTCACGGTTGAGTTCCTGAAGCTGAGTGGCGACGGGTGGCACGTTACGAGCGAAAGCGGCATTGCTGAATCGTGAAAAGTCGGTGTCCTGTGTTTGTGTGGAGGGTAAGGTCTCCATGGTTTGTGATAATATCTGCTGTTGGTTTACCGTTTGTGTTGTAAAGGGGTCACGTGGGGGTTTGGTTATTTCCTTTTTGGGTGTTACTGGAGAAGGATCAAAAGATAAATCGTTTAAATTAGGAAGTGAAAGTTCTGGAACATTCTGCTGAATATTACTTTCGGATGTTTCAGTCGCAGATTTTGAAGAGATAGATTGCCGACCGCCACTGTTGGACGCAGCTCCACTTGATTTCGAAGGAAATGATGGGATACTAGCAATATTTCCTCCAGCAGATCCAAACAAGTCAGATGAACCGAAAGCAGGACTTGCATCTTTTGCAATGCCTTCAATTGTATTTACACCGGAAGTACCAGTCTCACCTCCAAATGAATTCAAAAGAGCGTCTATGTTACTAAAATCTCCGTTACCTCCGGTAACAAGTCCCTGAAGACCGGGATTTGCTGCAAGATTTTGCTGTAGCTCTTTAGTGATGTCATTAATGGCAGCCTCTAAATCTAGAGCACCTGTGCCTGTTCCGGGGATGGCACGCTCCAAATCTACATGATCTAAGACGCCTGTTCCTGCTTGTCTAGGAATATCTGCTACGGCGGATCCTAAATTTCCTGGTGTTGATTTTCCCGAGGTCCCTTGTCTACCAGGGGCGAAACCGTTAATTTCTGCCAGCAAGGAATCTAAATCAAGCCCCCCCGTGGGGTCTGAGGTCTGTGCTGATACATCTGTATTTGAAAAAAAAAATACATTTTAAGTTTTTTACTTAAAAGAACAAATCCTGAAAGATGAAAAGCAAACTAGATATGAAAGGATTAAATTGGGGTATAATTTATGTAGTCTGTGAGTTTTGGGGTTGTAGAGGAAATCGATATCAACGGAAATAATGATTATGTCTATTTCGGGTCATTAATCATCACTTTTAAAACTCTTTTGAAGAAAAGTGTATTTTTCACATAAATGTAAGTTTTCTTTCTCTCTATGTTTATTGAAACTAAGGTTTTAGAAAATAAGTGATTAGCTGTTTCAATATCTGTTTATGATAGCTAGAAAAGAGCAAATTCCTACATGTTTTCATTAAATATACGGAAAAGTATTTTATAAAAATATATGAAAAAAGGGGAAAATCTAGCTGGAAAGATTTTCAGAAGTCAATGCAAATGATAATGATAGATGCAGAAAATTTTAAAATTGTGATGAAAGGAAACTTACATAACTTGTGGTACTAAAACAAGAAAAAAAAACATAACATAAAAACCCACTTTCTTGCTTCCATTTCATAAAAAAAATCATGAGATTTTCGGGAGTCCTCCTTCTAAGTAGGAGGGGATTCAGGTCTAAAAGCTCATTCGAAGTCTTTGACTTCAAATTAGCCTACACTTGAAGAGAAAGGAATATATCCCACTGTCATTGTGATTAAAATAGAAAAGAAACAATACACATCCATCGGCTTAATTAATCCCTAAATTGACGATAAAACTATCATTTCGATAGTTTAAGGTGCTGTCTTTAGATTATTCTAATTACTATAATACATATAGTATGGAGGTTTTAAAATGAATTTGCAGTGCGTAAAAACTGCCTTTTTCCCAGAAGTCAAGAAATGATTTGCATGGTCAATTCAATTTTTAAGAAATTATAATGAAAAATTGCATCGAATATCGTATATATATCACAGTCATGCTCACTGAATGGAGGTTTCTTCGTAAAAATGATATAATTAGACAAAATCTGTCACGGGAGGGGGGAAGGGGCATTGGATTGGCTTCTTTTTTTTTTTACCTATTTTCTATTAACTACAAATTCTTGTTACAAATTTCTAAACTAAATAAATAACAATTTTGTTTAAAAGAAAAAAGAAACCATAAAAAAACCCCGTTATAAACAGATGTTTTATTTACACTCACATTCTAAAAAAAATATTTCACTACAATTTCTTCATTTAATTTCTAAATAAAAATTTTCAGAGTTTTGTTAGTATCCACAACATTGCATTTCTCTTGAATATAGACTTGTATCGGGAGTCTATTAAATATCAGAATATATGTACCTTATCCCCACCTCTCCACCCCAATACATTGACTTAGGTTTCACAGAAATGTTGATGTTCGCTAACATCGCTAACATTTCACAGAAATAAATGTATGGTCTTCGAAACAAAAATAAGCAATGCTGAGGACTTACACTGTACACAAAGAAAGGTAATAATCCACCACTTTCCCATCATTCCGACAAATCACACACTTCTGATCTACGTTCAATCAAAACTCTATATTTATGCCAGTCAAAATCGTCCCCGTTATGTCATAAATTAAATAATAATTAGATACAACACTCTTGTTTTTGATTTCGATGATTTACTGCCGATTGATTTGCATACTCCATTCTAGTTGGCAATATAATGGATTGTCGAGTTTCAGAAGGGGCGTATAATGGGCGTTAGTATCATACAAATGGTGTATTTTTTTGGTCTTTGAGAGAACATTTTGTACGCTAAGTTACAATTAAGAATTGTTTTATCTCGGTGAATAATGATCCGATTTTAAAGATCGATTGCACACCTTTGCAATATACCATTTTCTTTTCTGGGCAGACACCATTCACGGGCGATATGATAAATTACGTAAAATTTTAACATTAGAGTTATAGCTAGAATTTTAATTATGATACAGCTTACAGTGGGCTAGCGGACATATGGAGGGTGTTTCTTTGAATTCTTATATCTGAAAGCAATTAATTTATATCCTGGAAGACGATATAATTAACTCCTATTTAGCTCTATTTCTAGGTTGTAGGTTTGAGGTTTTGGTCTATCTTAACCAGGAAGGAAATCAATAGTATCACAAAATAACAAGATCTTACAGACAAAAATATAGGCATATACGTCGGACAGCAACATCAGATACATGTGACAGCAACATTTGACAGCAACACCAAAGGAATATCAACATCAGACTGCAGCATCAGTCATTAACATAAAATGTGGAGATAATGAATAAAAAAAATTCCAAGGAACTTTTGGAAAATTTGAAATCACAAAATTTTACCAAAATCAATAACATCAAAACGTTCAACTTTTCAACACTCTATACAACCATTCCCGACAATAAATTAAAGTCCAGGATTTTTGACATCATTGACAGCTGCTTTTTCAATAAAATGGAACTCGTAAATTTACTTACATTGTCACTGGTCATTTGCAAAGTTACTTTGTTAAAAAACGATCTGATTGTACACACAAGTACTCTGAAGCTGACATTAAAAAGATGATCGAGTTTCTGATTGACAATATCTATGTGGTTTTGGGAGACCAGGGGCCCGTTTTACAAAAGAACTTACGACTAAGACCAAAATTTAATTCTGCTAATAACTTTCTAATTTACATTAAATAGAAAATGGTTTTAATCTTTTTAACAAGTATGTAGAAAGATACTTTTACGCTAGCAATTGTAAACAGAATCATTAATTCTGCAAAATTTTACAATCAACTGAAGTTTTTGTTCTTAGTCGTAAGTTCTTTTGTAAAACGGGCCCCTGGTCTTCCAACAATCTGTTGTAGTTCCCATGGGTACCAATGGCACCCTGTTGTTAGCATTTTTGTATTCATATGAATAGAATTTATTCAAAATCTTATACATGAGAAAAAACAAATTTTTTGCTGTGGCCTTCAAGTCGATATTTAGATATATCGACGACGTATTATCAATTAGCAATAGTTATTTCCATTCATATGTCGACACGATATATCCCGGTGAGCTTGAAATAAAAGATACCACACAGGCTGACACATCTGTTTCATATTTGGATTTTTTACTAGAAAAAGACGTTAATGGTAATCTAACAACCAAGCTTTATAATAATCCTACAGAGTCTGACACATCTGTTTCATATTTGGATATTATACTAGAAAAAGATGTTAATGGTAATCTAACAACAAAGCTTTATGATGCACGTGATTACTTTAACTTTTCAATCGTCAACTTCCCTTAATTATGAAGTAATATACCCTAATCACCTGTATAAGGGGTGTATATGAGGAGTGATCAAAGAGTTCGCGTACTATATCTATATCTACAAAATCACAATTCAGATCAGAATGAAATTTGGCACACATATAGTCATACACATGTTCTATAAATATGATATGTAATGTAATGTTTTGCACCATGTATGTGACGTCACAATGTGAAAATGACGTCAATATGTAGGTGACTGATGACAAAAAATGATTTACTCAGTCGTACTCCAGCAACGAACGGCTGTTAAGTTTCACGTGTATCTTGGAAATTCCTTTGCAGTATCATATGATAATTTGTGCAAAGTTTATGAAGGCAAAAGACTTGCCACAAGTCCAATCATTATTGGATTTATTTTTTTAGTGAAGGAAGGAAGATGGTTTAAAATGATGTTTATTCTATGCCCAGTGAGAGCAAGCTGGGAAAGAGATGTGTCCATAGTTGAGCAGTTTGTCATGAAAGATCACCAAGTTAAAGTTAGAAAAATGGTTGAATATCTTAACAATATTATAATTATGAAATCCCTAAAATATCATTTACTTTAGACTTTAAACATATAAGATATGATAAAAAGAAGGCGCCCATACTTTATCCACATTGGATAAACGACGCTCCAAAGACAGAGGGCTCGAGTTGTGATGGTCACCATGCTAAATCTGGGAAAGGATATCCTTATCCATTCATCCTATTTCCTAGATTTCGCCATTTCCGACAAATGGACTGTTCTTGTTAAAAAAATAACTTGCATGGTAAGAAATATAAGACTCTGCAAAATCTTTTAGCTCCTTGAACAGAACGCTACGGAGCATGTCACGTGACCACCTGTATCACGTGATTCGCGCATGGGCAGAACAGTGGCAGATGTGCATTTAAATCGGAGAGGACTACGTTAAAAAATAATGAACACTGAAACCTAATGTCATTTCTTTTATGGAAGTAAATCAATTAGTTCGGGAACTTTTTGATCACTCCTCGTATCTCTCAGTTGATCCAATAGGCAAGAGCATGCTCTACTTATGAACAATTTCTAAAACGAGGTAAGCTATTGACAAAGAAGTTGATGAAACAAGAATATCAACAGTCTCGTTTAATGTCATCATTTCGTAAGTTCTATGGTCGATACAATGACCTTGTCAGCAAATACAATCTATCATTAAGTCAAATGCTGCCTGACGTTATTCATACTAATTGTTGGGCCATTATTTTCACATCGAATTGTCGACAGATTTTTCTGTTATTTCCCGATCATGACATGGAGCACACGGCGGGTGTGACGGGTCGGCAGGGGATGAAAGACGTCATTTAGCATTCGGCTTAACGAATTTGCAAATAAGGTCATTGTATCGTCCACAGAATTGCAAAATGTTGAATTTAAACTGGATTGTTGATATCATTGTATCATCAACTTATTGTCAGTAGCCTGCCTTGTTTGTTTTAAAAACCAATCGTTGTAGAACATATCGAATCAACTTGAAGACATAAACTCCACATACATGTGGGAATGGTATATTGCTATATAGAAAAATAAGAGAAGTTGACGATAGCAAAGTTGAAGTCATCACGTTTATCATAAAGTTTAGTTGTTAGTTTGCCAACAATGTCATTTTCTAGTAAAATACCTGAATTTAAAACAGGTGTTTCAGACTCTGTGGTGTCTTTTATTTCAAGTTCAATGGAATATATCGAATCAAAGGAATGAAAACAAATATTGATATATAGATATATCTAAACAACGAATTGAAGGTCATAACAAGAGACCTCTTCTTTTCGTGTAGAAGTTTTTGGATTAGTTTTGCTTCAAAAGAATGCAAAGACAGATCTGCTAATAGCGCAGCACAATTAGTTCTCATGGGAATTCCAACAGATTGTTGGAAAACCTGGTCTCTTAAGATTACAACACCAGTCAGTAATAACAGGCCTCAACATCAGATAACAACAAAAGACAAAAACATCAGTCAATATCGGACTTCCATGTCAGAGAGCAACATCAAGCAGCAACATCAGCCATTAATATCAATCAGAAATAACAAACATCAACATCAGATAGCAACATAGGACGACAAAATCAATCATTAACATTACACAGCAATGTCGGACATCAATATCAACATCAGACAGCAACATCAGCCATTAACATGAATCAGAAATAACAGACCTCAATATCAGACAGGAACTTAGGACGACAACATCAATCATTAACATTAGTCAGCAACATCAAACCAACATCATCCAGACAGCAACGTCAGAATGCAACAACAGACCAAAAAATAGACACACACGAACATCAAACAGCAACATACATCAATATCAAAAAGCAACATCAGACAGCAACATCAGACAGTAACATCACTCAGCAACATTAAAAGAGCAGCACTAGAAGTCAGAAAACAATAACACACAGGGACAACACCATTCATTTACACACCCAACAATTTAAATAGAGAACGCCAACTATAACATTCACTTTTCTTCAAATGAAAATAATATTTTCTTGTAAAGTAACCCCTTTTCTATAGACGTAACTCAAGGAATGAATGACTTTTCGTCTGTTTCAAATATACTTTGAAAACACTAATTAACCCAGTTGAACTGTCATTCATGTTACATAATTCGGTTTTCATTCTCAGCAAGATTGAAAAAAAAAAAAGACAACAGTCTTTGCCTCTTGTAATCACTTAACACAGATATTTTCATCAAAATTAAATGGAATAGAAAAGGGGGGACACAAATTAGCATCAACAGATCACACCAAATATCACAGGGAAATCCCCTTGCACTGCCATTTGCAATCATAACCAACAGGTAAAACTTATACATTACCAAAAAACAAAAAAACAAATTTATTTTACGCAAGCGGCGAAGGTTTTTTTTTTTTTAATAATTAATTCACATGTAACACTAAGAAGCGAACGGAAGTAACGAGCCGTGCCTTCATATTGTTTTTCTGCGTAATCATTTGGGTTTGTGGTCGGGCATGTCACATTTTATTAAAGTCATTACAGATCTCATTTTTATCAATCAATTTGCTCAAATAATTAATCTATTATGAGTGATTATTCCTACATGCCAAAAATCTGGGCAAGTGTATAGTAATCACGTCACACCAAAGCAAAATATAGGCCGGTGCATTTACACTCTGTGGGGAGAAAGAATGGGCGGGGTTCTTTTTGATTGTTTTCTTCAGGATAATTTAAGGATATTGGTCAACCTGCTTTCTTATTTTTTCAATTAATTTGTTTCTTTTTATTTTTTTTTCCGGTCTGAATGGCGTGTAATTTATATATCAATAGTTCCTGTAATTAAGAGACTTGTTTGCACTTTAAGATACCAGATTAAAATTCTCTGAAACAAGCGCTGTAAATCTGTACCATCTTCCATTGTTAAAAATATACACAATTAATAAAGGGAGCTGATTAATCAAGACTTTTTCTCATAGTTGTTTTAAAAAATAATAGAAAGAAGGTTTGCAATGACCTGCACTTATAAGCTTAATGCATAATTTTCTGAGGTTTTGATTTTTCAGGATGAGTATAAATACAAATTTTAGAACATATAAACATTTTTCTACACCCATCAAGTAAATTAAAGATTTAGAACATGACATATATGTAAATGTTTGTTGTGTGAAGATTAAAAATTCTTTTCTTTCGACCAAACAATTATCAGATGTTTGGTTTTTGGGATGTAACACCCATGACTGAGATGGAGTGAATCCTAAAGATACCCGTGATTAGATTCACAAATAAATATCAGGACCAAGAGAGCCCAGGTCAAGGGACACATTTTGCACTCTAAAAACGACCTGAAATGACTCAATATCCATAGTTGCACGTGTGGTCTGGGTATCATCATTTGTGATCAACTTCACATAGAATTTTCTGTCCTTAATCCCTGTCTACGCTTACAGAGGTGGCATTTTAGTTCTGGTTTATCTGTCAAAGTTAAAGAGACAGGGTTGGATATTTTGTTAAGTTTTTACTGGGTTCCTACTTACAAGTGTTCTGCTACATGTAATTACTCTATCCACTATTAATACGCGGGAATATCTCCATTAGGTCATGGGATTCCGAGTGGTATTGCTAAGTGTAACTGCAAGAGCTTTTGAAATCTTTTTTTTTTTTTTATCTTTTCATCGACTTTTTTTTCAGTTTTTTTTTTTACTACTGTCATTTTGGTCTACTAACTTTAATATATACATGTATATAAAGAATGCTGTGTTTATCAGCGAGATGCTTTTTTATTTACACTTATTTCCTTTTTACTCTCTGTAATACTTTGAAACATTGAAACCAAAATATGTATACGTCTGTTAAAATGACATTTTCTCAAGGAATATGTATTTTAATGAATGGAGTGGCTATGGAAAATTTACAGTGATCAAATGAAATGATCAACTACAATTTATGTCTCTGCTGAAACTAAATGTTGAATTTTCAGCTGCCGGTGACACGAAAATTGTGTCCGGTCAACAGGGGATGCTTACTCCTCCATGGCACCTGATCCTACCTCTGATGTTTTTAGATGTTTGTGTTTGCTCTGCGCCTAATTTGTATTGTTTCAGTGGACTTTTGAGCTTGATTACTGTTTATGTCCATATTTCACTACATCCTAAATTTAGCTCAATAACTGCTAGTACTAACACACTGTAAAACGTTAAAATATGAAAACAATTCTATCGAATATTCATCAAAGGAAAATTTTTGCAATCTATAGACATTATTCGCACACCTGTTTAATTTCTTTTTTTTTTCTTTGTATGTATCAAAATTATTCGAAAACTTAAATAACTTACCTAAATAAAAGCATCTTGCTGTAACCTTCAGTTCATCATTCAGATATACATGTATCGACGATGTTTAATCAATTAAAAATATTCGTTTTAATTTTTATTTTACTAGAGAAAGACATTGATGGCAATCTAACAACTAAATCCTAATAACTATTGTCAACTTCCCTTACATCTATAACAATATACAACTATCATTTCCATATGGTGTCTATGTCTCTCAGTTGATTCGATGGGTAACCTACCTATCATCTTTGTGCCCGGTGTCACACAAAATCCCAAGAGCCTGTTCTGCGTACGATCAACTTCAAAACTAAGACAGGCTACTTGATGTTGATGTGTTAAATAAGTTACTAAAGTATGAGCAATTCCGTTTAAATTCAACACTTCTTATCCTTTGGTCGATACATTGACCTTGTTTGCAAAAACAAAAAAACAAAAAACAAAAAAAAACAAACAAACAAACAAAAAAACAGCCTGCCATCAAACTGAATGCTGACTGACGTTTTTCAATTAAATTGTTACACCATTATTTTTAAAATGAATTATCTATGGATTTTCTATTTAGCCGATCGTGACAAGGAGGACAGGGTCGACAGGGGATGCTGTATTCCTCCTTGGCACCTGATCCCACCTCTCATGTTTTCAGGGGCCCATAATTGCTCTGCTCTCACTTTGAACTTTTGAGTAGGTTTACTGTTCTTTATCTTCAATATCATATCACTATATCATATTATCATATCAAACTATTTGTGAAACGATAATTTTATGTCCGTATCCGTCAGTAAACCGCGGAAATCGTTTGTTCAGTAATAAAAACAACAGGGCTCTTTAGTACATGTGTCATATCATTTATTGCTTGAAAGGACACAGCATAAATATAGACGTACATTTACGTATACAGAGGAAATTTATTTATAGCACAACTATATCACATTTTTTTGCCAGCATAAAATGGATTTCGTAGAAGAAAAAATATACCAACATGTTCATGACAGTTATATATATATATATATATATATATATATATATATATATATATATATATATATATATATATATATATATATATATATATATATATATATATATATATATATACATTGCAAAAATCAAATGAAACAGGTAAATACATAAGAATGATAACACGTACTTTTACATTTGCATTTAATTAAATTCTAAATGGGAAATATTTATACACAGGTGAATGAGAATGATAATAAGATTGAAGTTGATCACTGCCGATCTCATACAACTAGACAAAATCTCATTAATGCCCCTTTGATCGACTCCCGTGCGATGAAATAAAATTTCAGAATGATGAACAAATTATGAAATTGTTCACTATGTAAATGAGATCTTTTTTTAATATGATTTAAAGAGAATTAATATTCTCTTTAAACGTTATTTCTTTTGCTTAAAAGTAGCCTATTCTATATTTGGTACATTTTCGCTGCAATTTTAATTACGTCGCTTTCATTGGTAGGAGAATTCTGTAAAGTTCGAGCTACGAAAAAACTAAACTATTTAAAAATTCGACAGAAATTAATTAACTTATAATATTGCTTAAAAATACTTAACCCAAATTTTGCGAGTAAGGTATGAAATCAGAAGCATAATCAAAGCTGTATACAATATTTATGGAAAAAAAATTTCATTTTTATAAAATCTGTATCTCGATCGTTCTTTTTTTAATGCGTTAAATTCTCTAGTCATTCACACATGATGTAATCACATTACAAATTGCTAACCTAAAGTTTAACAAACTGAGTTTTATTTTCCAAAGAACAGACTGCCTAAAGCAAATCCAATACCTAGGTTCTTCAACAAGTTATTGTTCTTTTTTGGAGGGGGTGGTGGGGGTCGGCGTGGAGGGGGTGGGGGAGGAGGTGGCTGGGGACGTTTTGTGGTTGGTGGGACTTTAATAACTGGCGCGGGTGTAGCGGGCAAAATAAACGTGTCCGGAACTTTCGGTTTCACCGGCAGGACGTCCTTTGGATTTACTGGCGGATTAATGACACCTGGGTACGTAGATTCAATATCTTTAGGAACAACAAGCACGGGAGATGGCGTGGCAGAGGGAATGTATCCCGGAAGTGTTGGAATGACGTCATCCACTGGGAAAAAGTCACCTGGTTGTAAAGGTTTCTTACCGCCCGTAACAGGCGGTATTTTTTTCTCACCCGGCACCTTAATGACTGGGGACGGAGTGGCAGCTGGTATGTATCCTGGAACCTCGGGTTCGGGTATGACGTCACCGACAGGAATGGCGTCACCAGGCTGTGGTCCTTGAGGACCTAGAGGGTTACCCGGTAAGATAGGTTCGGGCTCGGGTACAGGATTTCCAGAATTAACTCCAGGATCGTTCGGAAATACTAAGTTTGGAGAAGGTGTAGCAGATGGTATATAATCAGGTACAACGGGTATAACGGGAATGACGTCACCAGGCTTCAGTCCGTTTTCGTTTACAGGCACCAGTTCACTTGGATGAACCTCATTCATGTGTTGTCTCAACAGTTCTCGCAGTCGTTGGTTCTGCTTCCTCAACCTTCTCATTCTCTTTCGCTCCCTCAACCACGCGGCGCGGTTCTCAGCTGGATTCCAATCTTTCTGGCTTTTGTCAGCGTTGAAGTCGATGGCGGGAAAAACAGCTGTCTCTCCTGTCACAGGGTCAAGTACAGATATAATGTCATGTGTGTCGTTACCGTGCAGTGTTGCGGGAAAGTCGTGAAAAGTTCCATCAGTGTGAAGATGACCCCGCCTGCGGTCCACAACGTCTCCTGGAGACACGCCAGTAACAGGCCTGGCATTAGAAAATTCCGGAAGTCCAGTTATTGGGTTTATTCTGTGGATACCATCCTCTGGATGAATGATTGGTCTATCGTTGATCTGACGCCCAGGACTTATCGCGTCTGATGGAAGAACTTCCAACCCGACTAATTCTGACCCGTCTATAGGGCGAATGTCAATAGGGTTTGTAGGTCGATCTTCCAGGTTTACGTTGACGGGATCAACCGGATTTATAAAATCCGTCGGTCGATTATCTATTGGATTAACGGCTTCATTTACTTGCTTTACGTCGCTTGGGCTTATTGGTCCACTTATTTCTTCCTGTACGACAACATTGTTTGGAACTTTATCTTTTACACTTCCAATATCCTTCTGTTGTTTTTCATTTGTATTTTTTATATTTTTGGGAACTTGAACATTATCATTGATTTTTTCTGTTTGGGTTTTTATTTCCTTTGTTGTGACGTCAGATGGCGGAATTGGAGACTCTTTCTTAACTGATTTTCTAGTATTGAATGCTCCTTCCAGTAAACTTTTACCAAAATTCAATATTTGTGATAAGCCATTCGAAGAGTCCCCGGGAGAATTCAAACTCTGGACTTGACTCAGAATTTGTTGTGGTGAAAGTCCAGGTCCTGTCTGGGAGGTACTGTTTAACAGAAGCGAGGCTATAGTGTCGATTCCGGAAGCTTGATTTGGTGCGGGGTTAATTACACTAACGCTATTTCGTCGCGCCATCTGCCGGGCGTTTTGGTCAAAGAAAGGTGGACGCGGCTGTCGCCATGGCTGTCCCCAGCTGTCGGGCTGCCTGGAGGGTGGGTTCCTAGAGGAGAACCTCCGTGCAGTGAGGGGCTGCATTCTGTTAGATTCTGGGGAAGGAAACTGTCGACGAAATGACTGAGGTCCCCAAGGGTCTTGGAATCCTCCGGGAAAGGGTGCAAACTGTCCCGACACACCTAAAATACAGAAAAATAGAGAATATTATAAACGATTGAAACATATCTAAAACACAAAGGGTAAAAAACTATATTTCTCCATAGCGTAAAAAGCTATTTTTCTCCATAGCGTAAAAATACAAGATTTAAAAAGGAATTCAAAGTCATCAGCTCACAAAAACACAATTTCTGAAGAATAAAATCTTTTCTCCTCTATTTAATATTGATTTATTTATTCATTTATTATTTACTTATTCATTTATTTGAACTTTTATTGCATTATACTTTGTACATGTTAATTTTCATACATCCGTTTTATCAACATGATCCAGTGGTGTTAAATTTTTAAAAACATGTTTTTATATTCCCGTGAAATAAGAATAAGGTTATAGATATGGAACTCGTCAATATTTTCCCCTCTGCATTACGTCAATATTTGTTAGAAATGTATAGAACATTATAGAATAATGTAAACAGAGAAAGATACGCAGCTGAGTTTGGTGCGATATATACACTATGAATAAACAAATCGGATGGGATAAAACATACAATACTATAAACATTTTAAACGACTGGGTAACTAAAATTTACATATATTGTGCAAGAACAATTCTGAATTTTTTGCATTATCAAAACAAAAAAAAAATTTCATTGTTATAAAATTAAAGAAGTGTCCTTAAGGAGGCTGGGGGGTCAACAAATTAACCATCAGATGTAACTTACCTGGTAATTTTTTAGATATGATATCTTAAGCTGTCAACTATCATTTGTCAAACAAAAATGTCATACATTTTAGTTTTAAAATTTGATCATTTTTGTATATTTTTATATGGAGCTCTTCTTCTAAAGGAGATCAATATAGTCTGAAAATGGCCACAACCACCAAGCCCTCTTAATAACTCTATTCTGTATATTAAAAAAAGATTAGCACTTCTGTGAACGTATATTATTACCGTTAAGCATCATCTCAAGAATTACTAGAGACGCCATTACTGTTCGGAGAGCCATCTGTCCGCTGAAACAGAAAATCATAAGGACATTTTATATCAAATTGTATTTTACAAAGAATTCTAAGTACTTTCTGTATCGGTAAAATAAAAATTAGCCAAAGGAATAAATTCAAACACGAAAACGAGAAAAAAATATAAAGGTATATGTCCCGAAAAAAAAAAAGATTTTGAAAAATGACCTTACGATGTTTGCAACACTTTTTTTTAGTAGAATACAAGAATTGGTCAATGATGAGAAGTCACTAATTTGAGAATAAACGGATCGAAAAAAATTTCTTCATTGATGCTTAAATTTATTGTTTAGAGTTATTTTATTGATTAACTTTTATATTTTAAAAAAATCATTGCAAAAATAGACGCATTTAATAAATATTGTAGTAGAATTATATTTGAAATGCATATAACGAACTGGCTTACCATGCTTTGATCATAGTTTATCCTTCAGTGAATGATACACAAATATCCTCGAAACATTAAATCCCAAATCTACGAAAAGTCGTCCATCGTCTGCCAATATATGACCGAAGGACTCATGCGCGACATGACAGACGACATTTACGACTTGGTGGTGGTGACGTCACAATTTAACGCACGCTGCAGACCACTGACAGTACAAAGTGTACTGGACAAATAGACAAACGTATTTGATTGGTCAACATGGGTCAATGATTAGTATTACTGTACAATAGATCGACTTACTTGCTTTAAAATACATCGGACAAATATTTCTTTTTACATATAAACTGAACTGAATTCTGAAGCCATGACGGATATTCCCTTTGTTTGTGCGACTTTGGTCAATTCATTATGTTTTGTGTTTATTTGTCCTCATTTAAGTTCATGGTCGACGCCATTTTCGAAACTTTGGCGCCATAAAAAAAAAGTGCTAACCTTTTGAACTCATCAACATATTTTAGTAATTCATTTCACTCTGAGCAAATACTGTTGTAGGTTAAAGAATTTCTAATTTTTTTTTTCTTTTCTTATTTTGGATGGAAACATTTGGAAACATTGAGTCCAGATCATCTACTTCCGGTTCCTTATTCTATACCTTTGTCAACGGAGAGAGAGAACAACGCTATTCTGAAATTAAATACCCTTTGCATACTGTGCTACATACATTTTTAATACCTACTTTACCAGGAGACGATAACGTCCTATAAAATATAAAACTTCTTTTCTGCAGAGCTGCAAGTGACAGTCTTTTCTATTCAATGGTACCAATATGGGTATCTTTTAACTGTTTTTTTTTAAGATTAACCAAATTCGTTTTCGATGTTGACTTTGGTAGTTTGTTCTTGTATTTCCGACCAAATTACAACAATGAGTATAAGAATATCAGCGTAGCTTTGCACATGTCGTTGAATGCAGACATGAATTTTACAAAAACATTGCAGCCCAATGTTTCTCGAAGACAATTAGATCTCTGTTTCTTTTGTAAAACAAAACTAAGTTAATCTTCACGTTGAATTTTTTAAGATTAAAAAAATGCGATTCATTCGAGAATCATTTGCACGTGTTTATAGGCGCTAGTCTGCCTGCATGCCACTTTTTGTTAAAAATAATCTTGAAGACTATTAACGCCATGAAAATTACTCTAGCTCCTGCTGGATGTTCAAATATCAATTTCAATAAAGTAAAATTCAATATTAATTCTTATATTTTGAAGTTTTTGCGTCGTTGCATATGTATTTGCAAGCACCCTCTGAACTAAGGTACAAAGACTTTACTGTTCTCTTCATTTTTATTCGTCTGTTGGTTTAATTGTTACTCTACGAAACAATAGCCACAGTTTTAAACTATTTTAAAATATATTGGCGTCATTTGAAAAATTCGAAGATTGAAACTTTCCTTTGGGTCAGGGACATACTTAAAAAGTCAAATGAAAAACAAACAAGAGTCAATATCAGTAACAATGTTTCTTAATAAACACTCACAGGATGAAAAGCCAGGTTTCCCAAATTTGGAAACCCGATGGAAACATATGGGAATCGTGACATCAGTAGTTTCCATATAGTTTCCATTTTATGGAAACCACATAGTGGTTTCCACGTAGATTCCCGATATGGAAACAATCAACCTGTGGTTTCCCATTATTTTCCCAATATGGGAAACCGTGGAAACATGCAGTAGTGGTTTCCACGTAGATTCCCGATATAGAAACAATCAACCTGTGGTTTCCCGTAAGTTTCCCAATATGGGAAACCACGGAAACATGCAGTAGTGGTTTCCACGTATATTCCCGATATGGAAGTTATCAATCTGTAGTTTCCTGCATGTTTTCCAGATATGGAAAACACGTATGCTGTGGTTTACACCTATTTTCCCGATAATAGACATTTTGGAAACGTGTATCAAAAGAATAATAAAAAAAAAAACTGTTTGTGTAATACTGTGTAATAAAATTGAACATTCTGTGACAAATAAAAGATTTTTTTAACATTTTAGTCTCGGTAAAACTCATAAAGACACGCGAATTGGAATTAGTAGTAAGAGAAGATTTAATACAACTTTTAATTTTAGAAAAATCAGTGTAAACTGTTTAGATAAAATTCAATCATTGCGCTAACCCTTGTAATCGCGGGTACCTGCCACAGGTGGAGACACGTGTCGGGAAGACACCTGCGACTGTGTATTTTTTGTATATTCTATGTGATTTGAGAGGGTTTTCTACCTTAAGGGGAACAATGGGCTGTGGTCAAGCATGTACATACACCTAGTCTCCACAAACTCAGTTTAAATTTAGGTGATAACTGCTGGCCATTGATTTGATTTAAAAAAAATAATTTAAATTATCAATAAGACCACAGAATATTGATAAAATAAGCTACATTAATTTTAAGATGTTCAATGAGAGAAGGAAAAAAAAGAATTGTATTTTATTTTTTCATTACTGATTAAAAAACAAAATTTCCTAACCGTTTAAAAATTATATATACTTTTCTATCGGTCTAGAATAAATTTAAATTCTCGTTATGTGATAAATCATAATTCTTTTTCAAACAAATTTGTAAGTGCATACTAGATAAATGAAATAAAATTTCTTAATCGGTAAATAACGAATCGTCCTTGTTTGACATCAATGTAAACTTTGAATATTGAAAACATAGAAAGAATTGTTAATTATCAACTTTGTTGCCTGCTTAATTCGCAAATTGTTTATGAGAAAGGATGCAGGTGGATCTATTATACAACATAAGAACTAAATTACTAATGTTTTGTGTGAAAATCGTATATAGTCCTCTACAAAGACATTGATAAGATAACACAGCAGAATAATATTCATATACAAAATTAATGAGTGTTAACTAAATAACTTATTTTTTATATATATCTGTACACAGACCCTGATATAGTGAATGTCTTTATTTTTCGCAGGGAATTACAATAATGTTGGTCTTAAATGCATACATGCACGTATATTTAATATAGCCATTTTGTACACAAAGACCAATGATGGCTCTAAATAAAGAAAAGTCTATGATATTTATATAACATGATTTTCTTTTCCTTAAGAACAACGTCTTCTGAAGAACTGCATGCTAAGGCAATTCATTGAAGAAGAAAAAATTATTAATTGTTTTACAAGTAGATGCTTAGCGAAAACTTAATATTTTTAAATCGAGTATTATGTTAAACGGAAGGTTACCCCTTTCAAATTTAAGCCCAATCCCCTCCTTCAAAAAAATGGAGAGAAAATAGTTTCTTTCGATATTTAGGTATAATGTACTGATGTGGTGATTGTCAATACATGTACAAACATTTCTTTATACATGCCGTCCATTTCTTGATTTTATACCCCTACATGTACCATTACTTATTTAAAAAAAAAAACTGCACTCAAAACTGTCTACTCAAACCACAGGCCTGTATAATTTCAGTTTGGGGCACAAACTTTACCAGAAAGTTCTTAACTAGCAAACCTTACCAGAAATTACCAGAAAAAAGTTATATATGAAAGATACAGGGCGGTACTGGCTGAACAGCTAAAGCCACGTATATAATACAGCCCTGCACATCAACGAGTATACACCGGGCATTATTTTCCAACAAATCAGATGATCAAGTATTGACAAATTGTTACCAGTCACGACTAAAATTCTGAACGCAATGGACATGATTGTAGGTTACCTACAATAATTCTGAGCTTATTTTAATTATGTGTTTCAGGTCAGTAGCAACAGTTTCAAAAGGGGGGGGGGGGCTTCCATAAAAATCTGACAAGCCAAAAAAAAAAAAAAAAAAGAAGAAGAGCATAACCATTTACTTTCATCCCCTGCCCCCCCCCCCCCCCCCCCCGCATTCTACGGGCCGGTGTTTTCCAAATTAAAATACTGTTTTCCCTACCTTTGCTTAGATATTTGTTCGTTCTTTTTCACCTTGTGTTTACTCTCTTTTTTATAAATCAATTTTCAAACTTAATTAATGTGAAAAAATTCTGATACATTATAACGGTGAGAATTATCTTAACTAAAGGCAAAGATGTTTGAAGTAAAATATAGCAAATGGAAAAAAGTCCAGCAATTTCGTCCACTGATTATTATTGATATCAGGCTAAAATCGAAACCAAAAAAGGAGGGGGTTCAAAATAGTATCTAAAGCCGAACAAGAGAAAAAAATCATCAAATCTTTATTATTCTTGAACCGTCCTTGCTGGTAATTAAATTATTTTGTCTTGATTTTCACAAGCGTATACTATTCTAACATACCCTGATTCCTTCTACTAACTAGCAATTTTTGACACCGAACTTTTCCATCATCACTAAAAATAAAATACTGTTCTGTATACATGTCATGTAGTTCATTTGCAGCCAAATGCAGATCGAAATTTACGGCAGACTTCATGATCAAAGGACAACATTCTTGTCACAAAATAATAAAGAGCTGATAAAGAGTCATCAAACGTTTATTTTGAGGGGCGCAACAGGAAATAAGCTTTGTTTTCTATACTGCAAAAAATATGTTTAGGGACGTATGGCATGTCCACTATGCCCCCCCTCCCCCTATTTTCTACGGTCCTCAACTAATATTCATTTTCTGACGCTTCAAATTTTAAAACATGTATACATGTATAAAGGTTTAACATCTTTCGTTGTGATATTATACATTAATCAGAATAATGAATAATTTAATGAAAAAGTAGTGGGGGGGGGGGGGGGTAACCGGACATTTTCTGTTTGGATGGGCACTACGTACCAAGCCCCCCCCCCCCAAGTCAAATAATTTGAGGGGTCACACCAGAAACATAAAATGTCTCTGGTCACCCTCAGAAAACCTCTTTGTTTTCTATAGTATACTAATTATCAGCAAATTTATTGAAGAACACCCCCTTTCTATGATTAGTGAAGAACTTCACTAAGGATATGAACTCATAATCACCGTAATAGGGAAATTATATTATATATAAAAACTTTTAATACCCTCTAACATAATTAACGTAAACAGGTTCCGTTTCCCATAATGCATCGCTCTGCAGAGCCTTTAATTTCATTGGTCAATTTTCACGAGGCGCCATTTTTGGAGTTGAGCAAGACGGAGATGGACTCGGGTGTAAGGTGCAAATGTGAAAAGTTAACGATGTTTTCGCCACCCAGTGTCTTTAAAACTATGAAAAATGCAATGATCAACAACCAAGGATTAGTGTACGTAATTTTTTATATACTTTTTACGGTAAATAATACTGATATCGGGCAGAACAAATCTTTCCCATCGAAGACCACATTCGTTTTGACGCCATTTTGAAAAGTTCGATATCAAAGTTTTAAATATGTTAGTTTACACATTGAAAAAACGGAAAGAGAAACTTGAATTATACAATATTTAGTGTTTTACGTTCAATCATAGATGTATAGATAGTAGACTTTGTATAGTAAGGCCCTATGGCACCACATTTGTCTTTTTCCATGCTGTATGTTGTATGTTAATGTTTCGCCTTTGTAGATTTTTTTTTAATGAAAATGAATGCTTACTATAATAGTTCTCTCTCTCTATAAATAAATAAATGTGTATGAAATTTTTTTTCGTTGTTAAATCGGATAATAATGTTTGTACCGAATATGGTTTCTTTCTTAATACAGACAAATATATATCCGGTTTGAATACATGTGTTCTCGGAATGCAACTTGTTGTACTTTTGGACTTCTGGAACTTTTTATGATGTAACGACAAGGTAAAAATGAATTATTTCTCCTACTAAATTACGATTACGTCATCAATATTTAAACAAAAAGTGTCCGCAATCTCAACTTATCAGATTATTCACGAAAGACATCATCGTCGATGGAAATTTAAACAGTTAAAAGAGAGAGCTCTTCTTCTATTTACAACAAAACTTCAGAGCGCTGAAGATTACTTGCTGGTGCGCATGCGTGACCTAAGCAAACTAATATAAAGAAAAAACTGTGCTTTTATTTACATTTGTGATTAAAAGAAATGTTACTTTTTACATGATACTGTTGAGGACAGCTGGGGTTAGCTGTTCTCTAAAAATTTCTACTTTAGTGGCTTGGACAACAGACTGGGGAAGCAAATTCCATTGTATTATAGTTTGTGGAAAAAAGGACCATTAGGTAGATTTTTTTTTTGGCAGTATCTAACAAATTGATTTTTTGTCATACAAAAACACAGAATTAGAAATTTATTGATGTTTCATTACACACTGGACAGCTAGACAGGTTTAATATTCATTCTCGTTAAAACAAGTGTCTTGGAGAAATTATAAACCTCAACGTTATAATGAAACGAACTTTATTTCCCTGAAACCAAAAAAAAAAAAAAAAAAATGAAGTAAAATTAAAATACTTAAAAAAATGATTGGGTAGGGGTGATTATGATGGATCTTTTGGAGTACATCAAACAAATCAGTCATAGCTCACCTGAGCCAATGGCTCAAAAGAGCTTTTCTGATCAAAATTTGTCTGTCGCTGTCATTGTCTTAAACTTTTCACATTTGAATCTTCTTCTCAAGAACCACAGGGCCAATTTCAATCAAACTTGCTACAAAGTATCCTTGGGTAAAGGGGATTCAACTTTATTTAAATGAAGGACCATATCTTCTTCTAAGGGGATATAATTACAAATAAATGAAAAATTAATGGCATCATTTAAAATCTTCTTTTCTGGAACCACTGGGCCAGGAAAAATTAAACTTATTTGGAAGCATCCTCAGGAAGTGTAGATTCAGTGTAGATTCAAATTTGTTTAAATCATGACCCCCAGGTGTAGGGTGGGGCCACAATTGATGATCAAGTTTTACGTAGGAATACATAGGATAAAATCTTTGAAAATCTTCTTCACTAGAACCACTGTATCAGGAAAGATGAAACTTGTGTTGAAACATGGCCCCTAGGACTCTTGTTTATTGTTGATCTTATAAGTGAAATCAGAATGCAATACAGTGTAGTAACTGTACATAATATATTCTTTCAGAGAGAAGAAAATTGACATTAAAGGAGAACCAGTAACTAAAGATGTATGATGAATCAAGATGTGATCATGTGGTAAGTGGTAATAAATTCAATCATAAATAGGCATGTATGACAATTGCATTAAAAGAAAAGAACTTGATTCCAATTTTAATTGGAATGTTGAACTACCAGCTGCAAACTACAACAGGTTAGGCATAATAAAAAAAATGTTTGTTTACGGTTACCCCCCCCCCCCCCCCCCCAACCCCAACCCCAACCCCCCAACCCAATATCTAATAGCCAAGTGCAACCCAAATTTTTTTTCGTTGTAAAAATCCATAAGTCACTCATTCGTCAGTTTAACTTTTACATGCATCTTAATCTACCTACCAACCCTATTTTATTTCAGCATGTAACAGTAAACAAACATATTTTTTTGTTTGGCCTTATGAAATTGTATGGCTTGGAGTCTTTTTCACTTCTCTATAAAATTTTCTGTCTGGATGATGTCTAGCATAATATACACCATGCAGTGAGGATTTTAGTTCACCCGAGCTAAAAACTCGAGTGAACTTTTCTGATACCTTTTGTTTTGTCTTTTGTCCATCAAACTGTTGATCCATCAGTGAGCTTTTCACATTTTCAACTTCTTCTCAAGAAACACTAATTTTAACCAAGGTTGACACAAAGTAAGGATATTTTAAATTGTACAGAGGAAGCCCCCTCCCCCCCCCCCCCTTCACCCCAAGGGGAAATGATCAACTCTTTCAGATATTATTGATATGATCATTGTTGAGCAACTTATAATTTTGTAACCTGTAGACTTTTTTTTAAGAATAATGAATATTTGTTTATTTAAAGAATACTTCCAAATTACTTTGACATATCTATGGTATTCAAGATGCCAAAGTTCAACTGTATGGCTATGCTAAAGTAGTAAATATTATAACTTGCTAAAACTTTCTAACATTGAAATATGTTAAATGAAACAAGACAAAAATGAAAAATAAAAATTTACTGATTTCTGGCTGGTCAGTATTTTGATGACTGTCATTTCTAAAATATTCAATGAAACACTTTGAAGCGTTAACTGTAGGTATATGTTAACTAAATATACTATAAGATAATATTTATAAATGAGAAGTTTTGAACAAACATTACAACATTCATGTATGTAAATTGGGGGTAAAAACTGGTTATCGGTAATGGCTATCGCCTTAATTTTCAATGACATAAAACAAGATTTAGAATGCAGGTAAATAATACTAGTATGTGTCTGTACATATGATATAGCATATAGAACTTGTACTGAATGTTGATTAGCTTAATCTTGAATGGCTGATATGTTGGTCGTTTTTGATGAAATTTAGATTATTTGTATGTAAACTGAGTGTACATGCAATATGATATGAAATTATTCATAAGGTATTAAACATGATTAAAACATGTGTATGCAATGCAACATATGATGAATTCATATTGACTTGTATGGATATAGCTTAACATGTATGTGCATTGTTTTTTTAGGGTCCTGTTCTGCAGATGCCATGAGATGATCTGTCTGTCCATCTGATATCACTTGTCCTGAGTATATTTTTTCTCCTCTTAGCCCAATCTCACTCAAATTTAACTCATAGAGTGCCTGTGGATGGAGGGTAAAAAGTGACCTTGGACCAAGTATCAAGGTCAAAGGTCAGTATCAAAACACACTATATATCTTTATTTAAAGTCCTTTTCCAGAGCATAATTTTTTTCCCTTGGTATGATCTTGCTTGTGTGCCATGGGATGAAGGGTTTTTAGTGATCTTTAACAAAATTTCTAGGTCAAATGTCAGTAAGAAAAAAAAAAGATTCGTAATATCCTTGTCCAGAGCACATTTCTCTCCAATTCACTCAACTAAAAGCAGTGTTCTACATGTACGAGATGGTCATATTCTCAATCTTACCTGCTTTAATATTAATCTGGCTTAAAACCTTACTATGTAATGTTCATTATTCGGATTTCATGTCATTAAATTTAAAGACTGAAACTAATTATAATCACTGATATTGGTACATTAAAGGACATTGAGTGATCTTGTAAGATTTCTAAATAATTTTTAAGCATACAATTCTTACATCAAATAATAATTTTATATGAAAATATATTGCAGATCGCAGATGATGTGAAGAAAATACAAAGGAAGCTGGTGTTGAAAGAAGTATAGAGTATTTAAAGAAGTCTTTATGAATGGACTTAGATGTGAAAGACTACTTCATTGTGTACCAAGATATATGATTTTATTTATTTTGATATCATTTTCAAATAATGTTTTTGCACATCAAATGAATTATTAAACATATGATTTGATAATGCTTTTTCCTTTTTATACATTTTCTTGATAGATTTTGAAAAGAAAACAGAGTTTACCAAGGAAATTAATAATACATATTTTGATTTAAACCTGCTGTTCTCTTTTCACATTCTAGACAAGAAAAATTAACCATGGAAAATACAGGGATCCTTGAGCTTCCAGTTGCTTGTCAATCATTTTTCGAAATTGAAATGCTCAACCTACCCTGTAGTTTCCATGGTATGGAAACTATTACACCACAATTACACATTGCTTCCCGTCTCAGAAAAATAAGGGAATCTTGAAGTTTCCCTGTAATTTCCTTTTATGAGACACCAGATAATTCCACCAAGTTTCCATCACACGGAAACCGCTACGCTCCAATTCCATATAGTTTCCTGAGTCATGGAAACTTGAGGAATCACAAGGTTTCCTCTAGTTTCCGTTCATGGGAAATCTGAGGATTCCATCGAGTTTCCATTCCATGGAAACCACTACGCTCCGATTCCACATAGTTTGCTAATTATGGAAACCAGTGGAATCTTCAGGTTTCCCATTACGGGAAACTACATGGAGGCTCAGGAAACTTCAGGTTTCCTGAGATTTCCGTGGTTCGGGATACCTTATGGAATCGGAGCGTAGTAGTTTCCGTGGTACGGAAACTTGACGGAATAACCTGGCATCCGCTGCGGAAACCACTAGGAAACATGATGTAAACATGAGGTTTCCATGTGGTTTCCATATAGTTTCCCATGACGGGAAACTGCTTATTTCACCCAGTGACTTTGTAGATAAATAAAATAAATGTGTGCATGCAGTACATGTATAACCCATGAACGTGATGCAGGATTTCACTCGAGTGTTCCAAGTCAAGTCAATAGTCTCCTCCAGAATTTACTTTGCTATTTTTTAATTTCATCTTCTGCGCCGCTGCGTTTGTGACTTGTGCGCAGTGCTCCACTTGAAGCACCCTCGGTATATATATCCCTGCCGAGACCCATCGTCAGAATTCCAGCATTTAGATTGTGTAACGTTCACTTCAGCCTAAAAGCAGATCATCAAAAATGGTAAGAAACTTCACTGTAAATTTACTAACATTTCATTTTGAAATAGGCACTAATTAATACAACACAGCAATTTCAATTGACAAGTACACTTAAAAAAATTCTAAGCAAGTATGCTTATAGCAAAAAAAATACTTAAAAGATGTTTTTATTTCCATTTTAACGAAAAAATCGAATAAAGACGATTCGACCATTTGGCTATATGCAAAATATTCCTTGTAATAATTTAGTGGAAAGATTTTATTTTTGAAAGAACCTGTTTCTCGTCGGTAAACAAATCAAATTTAGCCTTTTGATCTGCCTAAAATTACAATGATTTCGCTTACTCGTTAGCATTGTTACTTTTCAGTCCAAACTTTCCAAAGAAGAAATTGAAGGTATGGAGAGTTGTGTGTTACCCCCCCCCCCCTTAATGTTCTTTTAATTAACAGCATGGGTTAATTAATTTTTGCAGAAACCTAGAAATCTCATCCTGTGTTGTGCAGTGCAAGTTTAATTTGATAAATTCCACTCTCGATTGGGTGCATACGAGAGTTTAACACTGATGTCAAAATGATCCCGACAGGCAGTATAATGGAGATAGGAAAAAGGGGGGAGGGAGGAGGGTACGTCAGTGATTATTAATGAACTTGTGGCTTTTCTCAATATTTGATAAGATATTAAAAATCAATTTATTAAAATCGAAAGGAATAACGTAATAAAACTTTGCTACATGTACTAATATATAATTCGTTTGAATATTGGAAAAATAATGAGCTTTTAGTTTAAAAGAAAAGGGAAAATGTACAATGTACGTCTTACAATTTCAACCCCATTTTCTTTTTCCTAAAAAAAAATGGTTACAGAGACACGGATTAATTACGGCTAGCGTTGTTTTCTGACATTCCTTGGCAAAAGTTCAAATTCATCAGTTTCTTCTTATCTTTTGTATTAAATTTTGCTGTATGGATTCTGACTAAAATTGCACAAGGAGAATGTACCTACGCACCGCGCTCGCAGGCACGCGCAGGCACGCGCCTTGTGTATACCAGTATCTTGACAGGATCAATGTCAATCAGGGAGGGAGCTTTAATTCGATGTGACGTTATCGGAGGGATCTTACATAATTCCATGGAAGATGATTCTTTACGTGGCTTTGTCTACAATAAGACATTATTTTTATCTTTTTCAAAGGAAATATATCGAGTCTCCTTTCGAATGCATTTCTTACCCAAATGAATAATATTACATCTATTTAAATTTGTTAGGAATGCAAAACATTTAAATTTAGTTATCTATATACATTAAGCTACAGCACATAAGCACTTTTTGTTGCCATGGATACCAATGTTCAAGGGTTGGGTTAGAGCGGAAATAGATGAAGGCAGACAGACACCAGCTGCTTATTTTTAAAAACGAACTGTAAAAACGTCATTAAATGTAATATTCTCCTCGATACTGTAACCTCTTCCCCCTCTCCGACACCGGGTAGAACGGTACATTCGGGGTGGCGGCAATGCGTGACTCGGGGTGGCGGCACCGAGGCGAAGAAAACATCAACATGGTGATTAAACCTGAATTTTTTTCATATGTTCAGACGTGTTAGATCAGAAAATTGTATTCTACGGAAGAGAGCAAATATCAACCTACCTCTGGCCGTTTAAAGCAGCCTATAAGAGTGCTCCGTTTTCTCAAACACTCCTCCTCACTTTTCGGGGTATCAACGTTTTCGACTTTTGACACAATATTCTGTTTCAAAATTGACCACAGAAGGTTTTTTTCCTTATATCTTGAACAGTAATAAAGTAATACGATAGAATAAACTTCGATCCTACTTTATAAGTCAATATATTTTACTAAGTAAGCCAATTTAGGCTTCAAACTCAATGCCACGCTCGGGGTGGCGGTTTCTGTGTCTTGCGGGGTGGCAGCATGTCTGAGAAATAGGGATTATTTTTTCATACAGCGTTCTCCTGACCCCCTTCGAGACAAAAAAGATTCAGATCTCTTAGAAGAATCTAGATTATGTCTTGGCACGATGTTATTTCGCTATAAATGAGGCTATGTCAAACTTTATGAAGTATATTTTTTATAATTTAAAGACCGGAATGAACAAGGAATGGGTACTATGCAGGAACGTAGCACCGTTTTTGAAAGTGGGGGGGGGGGGATTTCAACTGACCTGGAAAAAACCTTGACAAGCAAAAAAAAAAAAAAAGGAGAATTGTCCGAGCTCGAAAATCCTATTTCGTTGGGGGGGGGGGGGGGGATTGTTAGGTTCCAACTTCTTTTAGTACCAAATTTTATTCATACACTACTACAAAACCCTTATTTTACTATTCTACAACAAAAAGTGGGGGGGGGGGGGTGGCCTTTTAATTTACATTTCAAATAGTTAAAAAAAAAGTCTTTGGAAAAAAGTGGGGGAGCCATGCCTCCCCCCCCCCCCCCCCTGTTGCTACGTACCTGCTATATAATGATAGTAGTGTGTTGCTAATACTAGTATTACTTTATACAGTTCCTACATTTAAGTTTTGAACAGAAGTCCAAGTTAAGCAGAATAATCAAGATAATTATAATCAATGTTTATATACACATATATAAATCCTTGTTGTTGTCACCGAAATAAAAAAAAAAACAACTGAATGACTATTAAATTAATAATTGTGATAATCTGATTATCGGGACATATGTTCAAAGCTTAAAGATGGGAGTTTTAAAAAGTAACAAAATAATTATATTGTGGGTTTGCCCATTTTCTGATCTGCGGTATTCCTGTATACATCATTTTCCAGGCAGGTTCCCACTAAACTAAAATTGTCGATTTATGTGTATCACAGGTCAGGGATAAAATTATATATATTTTTTGAAAAAATAAGAAGACTTTTAAAGAAAAAGACAGGGGGTTTCATGAAAAAAGTTGACACCCACAATATAATTATTTTGTTACTTTTTAAAACTCCTATCTTTCGGCTTTGAACATATGTCCCGAGTAAGCAGATTATCACAATTAATAATTTAACATGCAGTCATTCAGTTGTTTTTTTATTGTAGGGACAACAACAAGGATTTATATATGTGTATATAAACATTGATTGTAATTATCTTGATTATTCTGCCTAATTTGGACTTCTGTTCAAAACTTAAATGTAGGAACTGTATAAAGTAATATCAATATTAGCAACTCACTACTATCATTATATAGTGTCTATTCCTTGTTCATTCCGGTCTTTAAATTATAAAAAATATACTTCTTAAAGTTTGACATAGCCA